GCTCAAAACAGCTCTTTTAAGGAAGCTCTATGGGCTACTAGAAAACACAGTTCAATAAAATCAGGAAAAATGCATGAACAAAATGAGAAGTTTAACAAAAAAATAGAAACTGTTAAAAAGAACCAAACAAATTCTGGAGCTGAAGAACACAATGAATGAAATGGAAAATGCAAAAGAGAGTATCAACAGGAAAATGGATCAAGCAGAAGAAAAAAACTTTGTGTTAAAAGACAGGAATTTGGAATTATCCAGTTAGGGAATAACAAAGGAAAAAAGAAAGAATGAAGAAAGCCCATGGTATTCATGGATACAATCAAGGGAATTAATTTGTGAATTATAGTAGTTCTAGAATGAGAAGAGAAGGGGGCAGAAAGCTTATTTAAAGAAATAACAAAAATTGTATGATCCTCTCAACAGATGCAGAAAAAGCATTTGACAAAAATCCTCTAATGATGAAAATTTTAATTCCTTGATTTTTTTTTTTTGGTATTTCTTATAGTATTGCATTGTTTGCATATTTGATGGAGCAGTGACCTCTTCCAGACTTTATGGTCTAGTTTTGATGCAGAAATACTTTTACCTCATGAAAGTGCGGAGACTCCAGCTTGGGCAGGGCAGTGGCGGTCTGTGTGCAGCTGGGGTCCTCACGTGGCTGAAGCTGCACCTGGCGTCTGTAGCAGATGGTGAAGGTTGTTGGCTTCTTCAGTGGCAAAGACTTCTGGGGCCTTCCCGATCTTTTTTTTTCTTCCATGGAGGGTGTAGTGGCCAAGGGAATTCCTCTTGGTGCTGGCTCCACATCGTGGGTACCCTTGTGATGGTGGTGATGGCACTGGGTCTGATGCGCAGGCGCCTGTGGAGCAGCAATGGGGCTGAGGTTGGAGCATGGGCATGTATGGAGTGAAAACGTACCAAGGTCTGGGGTGCTGGCTAGCTCAGAGTGGCGCGGGCGCACACGGAGCATCCACAGAGGTGGGGACTGGAAAGTGTGTGCTCATTAAGCAAGAGGGGATTTAGGGTGCAGGGCTTTGGATGGCACTCAGGGGCAGGGTCTGCTGGTGCCTGAGATGTGGGGGCAGTGGACCAGCTGTGACTCTGGGCCCCGGGGCATCTGCAGTGTTTGGGAGGCGTGATAGCCCTGGTCCTGAGGCAACATAACAACAGCCCTTTCTGGGTGTGGAGCATCAGTGTCTCCTTATCTGGGAGGGGCTTGTGATGGTTACCTCAATGGCAAAAGCTGCTAGTGTCTTCTTTGGAGCTGGCTGCTGGGATGTGCTCCAGCAGACACTATGGGGTCTTCCCCTATGAAAGCTGTGGGAAGTCCATGGCTGTCGCAGGGACTGTTGAGGTCCTCATTGGCAAAGTCTGCACGTGTCCTCTGCAGAGCAGGCCACTGGGGACTGTGGTGGCATCTGCTGCGTGGCTCATAGCGATAGCACTTATCCTTTGTTCCTAGCTGTCTCTACTCACCAGCACTAAGTTGATCCCCAGTTATCCTTTCTGTCCAGTTTATTCTCCTTGTTTTGCTCCACTGTGTTGCCATAGGTTCCTCACTGTGCCCTCGAGTTCTCCCAGGATTCTTTTCGTCTGTGGATCTCTCTGTAATGATTTTTGGTGGTGGTGGAGGGGAGGATGAAGGCTGTTATCCTGTATTCTGCCATCTGTTGATCTCACTTTTCCTTAATAGAATTTTTTAAATGGAAGAGAAGTAAATGTACGTTCTAGGTTTAGTAGAAATTCCTAGTCCATGTCTTGAAAAAATGTGCAGGATAATCTTACCAAGGGAGATCAGGCCTCAAAAATTCCATACCATAAATTATTTTCTAAATGTTAGTATTATGAATGAGTCAATTCATTGAATTAATATTTGGCCCCAAACTCTCAGACTCAAAATCTATCATACATTTTATATTCCGGTATAGAGTATGTCTTTCACCCCTAGAAAGTTTCTCTGTAGTTGGTACATTTGTTGGTGAGATAGGAACTATAATAGGAGCTGTGATTTGTTGGTGATAGGAACAGGAGAGATAGGAACTATGGCTATCTGAAGATAGTACTCGTGCATTTGAGGTAAAAATGACATGTCTTAGAATGCAAAGAAATGGTGCTATTGTAGAATTTCATAAAAGTGACACCAAAGATTAATAAGAAGTTTCAGGAATTATGTAATGGAAACTGCAAGTATTCAAAGTGGTTGTTCAATGAGCTTAGTGTGTTAGATCTCATGAATGGTAATGGATTGCTTCTCAAGTGTCTGTAAAAGTTGCCTATGTTAACAGCAGATCCTGCTGAACTCAGTTTTCCAAACTTTCCAAATGCCTAAACTGTAGATAATGTAGATGGGAGTGGCTTCCTGAGTGCCTATTGGTCCTCTGAATACTCTGCCTCAGTTTGGAGCTTTACATGTATCAATCTGATCTCCCTGTTACTAGTGAACTGTAGTATCTTGTATTCTATAGTTTGTATGGGACACCCATTCATAAAGTGTTTTGGTTTACCACAGTGACAGCTCTATTAGTTAGAGAATAAAGTATTATTACACAAATACCTAAAAATACAGTGATTCAAAAAAGAAGTGTTATCTCTCTCATATAATATTCCAGAGGTAGGCAAGTTGCCAAAGATGATTCAGCAGCCTTGCTTTATGACATTTTGAAGAACCTGTGGTGGTTGGTTTTGCTTGACCATCCCTTGCGTCTGATAGAAGGCAGTTTCCCAGCACGAAATCTTCATGCCAGCCCATGGAATGGAAGTAGGACATGAAAGTGTAACCAGCTTTCACTTAATGCCATTAACTTGGTGTTTTGCATATAATTTCTGGTCATATTCCACTGGCCAGAACCTAGTCACATAACCATATCTCTTTGTGAGGGAGTCTGAGAAATGCCTTCCTTAGCTTGGCTGTCTTGTGTGTCCTGCTGATAACAAGAAAGTGCTATTACTAAAGGGAAGAAAGGAGTAGATATTGCGGGACAACTGCCAGTTCAGGTGTTATCTTTCCCCTCTCATTACCTCAGCATTGCCGAAGTTGAGACCGTGGTAGCAGCATACCCTTTGTCATAGTCATGTTAGCCTGGAGTACCACAGGTTCTATAGAGAAGGCAGAGATCAAAATTTCCCCATACACTGCTAGATTTATCTTTATCTGTAGAGGTCCCAGACAGGATTTTCTTCTTATTACCACTTTCTAGGGGCCGGCCCATATCCGTATGGTTACTGTGGGAAATATCCTATTAGTAGAGTGTGGTCTTATATTTCCATATTCGATTGACTGTGGTATTTAAACCACTCCAATTGCAGTATTCTCCAACCTTGCTAGAGCTGGTAGTTCTTGAGGTGAGCATCTTGCTCGTACTAAGGGAGTTGGGGAGGCTCTGAGTCTTCTCTGGGAATTCTGGACAGTTTAAGATGAGAATTTTCCCTCTAAAAGCTCTGGAGTTTTTAGCAGCTATGTTTTTGACTCTGTGGAAAAAGATGGGCCTCAGTGAGCTAGACAAGTGAAGCTGCAGTGTAAGCATAAATGAAAACCAGAGAAAAAGGGATAAACTTTACCTGTATTTCTTCCTTGAAGCCCAACATAATAAGTGATATTCTATTTAATCTGTCTCTTCTTCTTCTCATAATTTTTGATGGGTTTTCTGGAATTACTAGAATGTGGTTATTCTACTGTCATTTTAGCAAATGTTATAGTAGTAATCTCTAGTTCATTGAAGATAGAAACGAATTACATACCTCAAGGAGTTCCAGATTCTATAAGTGATTTTGTGCAAACTTATCTTAAATAATCTCCTAAGACTGTTTTAGGAACCATGAGGAAAAGATTGCTACTCTCATAATTCTTTTGTAGGAAATTTAAATTGGTTTTATCTAAGATTTATTTGAAAAATATTTATTTGAAAAACATTGCCTCGTTCAATAAAGAATATTTAAGGGACCATGAAACAAACTTTAATGAAATAGGTGACATTAGAAACATAACTTGGAAGAGATCACTAAGGAGTTTGTTTTCAAATGTCAATCTCCAAAGTTCTCTATTGCCTCAAATTATATTGCAGGACCTGATTTTGGATGTCAAACCTCATAAGGAAGACAGATCATCAAATATGGTTACCCAAGATGTTGATTTTTAAAAATTTATTGAATATATTTAGCAACTCAGTTGGGTAAGGTACTCTTCTAGCAGTGGAAGCCCAGTGAAGGGCAGGACAAAATAAATGGCTCCTATTGTTATGGAGGTTATATTCCACTGAAGAATTCAGGCAATAAACAATACAAATTTAGTAAATAAGTGTAATCATTCGCATTAGTGGTGTTATAGGGGTTCAGATAATAAATAATAAAAAATAGGGAATAAAGAAATAAACATAATCATTTCTCTTACTGGTAAGTGCTATGATAAAGAAACAAAAACAAAGCAACAACAGCAGCAACAGCAACAACAATACATGATGATAGACCCCAAGTAGAGAAACCACTTGTGCCTTGTCGGACTTCTCACTTCCAGAAACTGTGACATTATAAATGGGTGTTGTAAGTTGCCAAGATTTTAGTATTCTTCTGCAAAGTGATAATAAAACTAATATAGTAATGAAGGAAAACACAGTTGAATATATAGGTTGGCAATTTTGGTCCTTTTATTTTAGACTTCTTGAGGATACAATGTTTCTTCCATGAGATTATATTATAGACCTGGCTTTTTAATGAGTTCCTACTTGGAATCCTGGAGAACAAGTATAATTTTCTTGTGTTTCTTTCTATTGCCTTCTTTCGCAGAGCCCACTCTCATGGCTTAAACTTCTGTAACTTGTCTCATAGCTTTTGTGATGACAATAACAGAAAATGAAGCAAAAAGGGGAATAACCACGATCATTGCCTTCTCTTTCTCTTTTTCTACAACATCATCAGGAAAATTTTGAATTAGATAATAATAGAGAAAAAGGAAAAGAAATGAAGAAGATGAAAAAGAAAGGGAGTTTTAACCCAAACATATTTTAAACTGACAGGTTCATCAAATGCTCCATTTGCCTGCTATGAAGAAATACAATCTCAAATTGATAGGTTTGGGAACTGCGGTAAGGAGAGAGGCCAATATCGTTTCTGTCCCTGGAGGTAGGCTCTGCAAATATTAAAGATACTTTTCTTATGTTCTGTAAGATTCTATCTTAAGTTTTTCTTCATTTGTGTCATTTATTCTAGTGGTTCCAAGTACTACATATGTATGGGAGTGAATTTCAAGTCAAAATCTGTAACGCTGACATCTTTCTTGTGCTACAGGCTTAAACTTACATCTAATTTTTAAACATATGTAGATGACCATTAGTCTCCTAAACCCAATACATGATTGAAACTAATAATGTCGTTTGCACCTTTTCGTTCTTAACCTGCTCATTCTTTAAAAAAATACTGTCCCCATTCATTTGATTGCTTGCCCAAGCTGAAGACTGCCCAGTATCTATCTATAAAATGGAGTTTATTTTTCCTGGCATCTGAAAGGCCAGCTCTTTGATATATTGGTCATGAATTTATTTTAACATTTATTAAGATTTAGTATGTGCTGGACACTGGGCTAGATATGAGTTAGCAAATCATGCATGGTCCTCATATTCACGGGATTTGTAGACAAGTAAACATAATATGTATTTTATGGTTCCTTGATTTGCTTATGCTGTAACTCTTGTTTAGAAATGCCTTATTCTGACTGTTGAAATCCTACTATTTGTAAGTTTTAATTCATATGGAGTGTTCTGTTTCAAGTTTTCCCTGACTGCTAAGTTAGAATGTCCTCATCTGAAAGCCCTGTAAGAATTTATTTCCTTTGTAGCACTTTTTAAAGCAATTATACTTTTTAAGTTGAATTTATTAGGGTGACACTGGTTCACAAAATCATACATGTTTCAAGTGTACCACTCAATAAAACATCGCATTTAGTATGAGACTATAGAGGTCTTGAAGGTAGAGATCACAATTTGTTTACTTTTATATCCATATAAAATGCTTGAGTGAATTGATTATTTGACAATAACTATATAAATCTTCACAGTGAATAAAAGCCAATTAGTAGCGTTGAAAGATAATCTTGTATCAATGACCTTATTCTTTTTTACTTTTTATTTTAAATGTTAGTTTTATCTACACTACATTTCCCTAGATACACTGCCATAAATGATGAACCATTTATTCTTATTTTTTTGTCAAAGAAAGCAAATCTGAAGCATTTCCAATTAATGCCTAATGTGTAATAATCATATATATAATTTTATTATGTTTTCAGGAATCTTATATGTGGAAGATTGATTTGTACTTACCCTACTCGAACTCCTTTCCATAAAGATAATGTTGCTGTGCTTTATGCTTATGTACGAAATGTTGTATGTATAACTCTAGACTATAGTATTCATGGCTCAACCACAGACCCAATGGTGGTCAAGAATGGCTCTGAATGTGATAAAGGGAGGGTAAGTAAAATGAAATTTATTTTTTAACTCTCACTTTATTCATTTCTTTATTACATATTTTCATTTCAGTATCAAATTTAAATTCATTTGTAGTGCTATGTAACCTTAAATATTTAGATAAAGAGAACACAAATAAGCTTAAATTGGACTCCAGATGTTAAGAGGGAAGTCGGACTGTCTGATCCTTTTCAGAATTTCAATGGTGTGAGCAAGGAAACTATCAAGCGTTTTTGGATTGGAGTGAGGAGGGGAGAGCTCTTGGTAATAGATTGTAGTTAAGTACTCTCCAGCATGGAAATTTACTTTTCTTCTTGGGAAAAGAAAAAGAAGAAATCCTACTGGGTAATATGCGTCTCTTTGTGGCCCAGTAGATAAGAGCACACGTCAGATCAGGTTGCATAGAATTGAATTTTCACCTCCTATGTTTTGATAGTTTGCTGCTAGTTGCCTGACCATTCTGAGATACCATGTCTATATGTACAGTGGGGATAACAATAGCATTTACTCTGTGGGGTTATTGAGAAGATTAAATGAGATAGCAGTATAAAGTGCACAATGTCCAGCATGTGGTAAGAGTTAAATACAGGTTGGCTATTGTTATGTATTGTTATTATAATTCATTCTGTTTGAGGCTGACATAAATCTGGAGAAAATAAATTTTCTTCAAAGTCTCCTTTCATCCCCAAGCAGAGGGTTGCCAGCCTCCTTCTCCTGCCCAAGGACCACGAGCGCCTCCTGGGAGGAAGGGTGTTCCTGGAGGCTCAGCAGAGAGACTTAGGTCATAGAGCCAAAATGATTAAAAAATAAAACAAGTCAACAGATGATTTGATATTACTCAAATGGTAGTTTAGTAAGAATAGAGTCTTTTCCATAACATGGGTAGTTCTTCTCAGTGATAATGTTTGAAAACAAATTTTACCAGGTAACCTTTAATAATACTATAAGTCTTATATGATAAAACATTCTTGGTACCTTTGTTACAATTGATGAACCTACATTGACATATCATGATCACCCAAAGTTTATAGTTTACATTAGACTTACCTGAAAAGTCTCCAAATTCTTGGAGATTAAACAATACATTCTGAATAACACATGTATCCCACACATTGAAAAAATATTTTACATTAAATGGAAATACAACATAAAAGTTTGTGGGGTACAGAAAAAGCAGTACTTAAATGGATAATTATTTCATTGAATGGTTGTGGTTTTATGTTATAAAATTATGGATTGTAATGTTAAGAGCTGAACTTCTCTGACTAGGAATTTGTTTTCATTAGGTTTGTGTAAATCGTGAATGTGTAGAATCTAGGATACTTAAGAGTGAATTCCATCATTGTTCAGCAAGGTGCAGTGGGCATGGAGTAAGTAAGCACATGATCGGTATTTCCCCAGATCACATTTATCTTGGACATTTTTCAGTTTTCAGGCTCACTCATTAATTTGTTCAGCATTTATTTGGTTTCTACTGTACTCTAGTGTTGGGTTGCAGCCTCCTCCAGAGCTTCCTGAGTATAATCTGAAACCAGTCTCCACGGGAGGGAGGCAGGGAGATGCTGAAGAAGGCGGCAGGGCACTCTGGGTTGGCAGGCAGCAGGCCTAACCAACAACTTACAGGCTTGCGTTGGGCAGCTGCAAGACAAGTAGTTTTCTGCACCAGCCCGCTAGATATTTAGACGTTAATCAAGAGGCCCTAACTGTGTTCAGTCAAGTATACAGGGGCTTTATCTGGGTTTAGTCACATACCTAGTTCAGGTGGACTCTTCTCCCCATTTCTATCTCAGGATTGTATCCTTGAGTAGCTCCTAGCCCAGGGAAAGCAAGTAAAGCACATACTGCAAGCACAGTGGAGAGAGTGAGTCTCACATTTCCCAGGTATGTACAGTGGTGGGTCAAACCAGTGGTCACCTCTGTTTGATGACCTTTTCCAGAAGTTAGGCCCTGCTGCATCTAGTGTTAATACGGAGCTGAATTGGGTTACTAAATTTGTAGCTGTAGATAGTTACAGAGACCATTGAATAGAATTAAATTGGCTAGGATTTCAGGTTGTGTAGGGCTGGGAACTCGACTGAGGGGTGGTGGACAGGGCTATTATTGAGCTCTCCAGCCTGGGTGAGGGAGCAGACCAGGCCCCAGAAATGGCAAGGCTCGCTGTTTGAGGTCCCAAATCAGGCAGGCGTGTACCCAGTCGACTTCCCTGCTCCTACTGCACCACTCTCTCGGCTCTGCTGACGAACAAAGCCACTGGTTGGGACTCCTACTTGGGCACTGAGGTAGGAACTTGAACAAAATCCTGGTCATTGCAAACCCTCAAAATCAGAACCCCAGTGGGCAAGCCTCACCAATTTTCCCATGATCCTTGTGAGACAGAATCAGAGTAGGGATTCCCAGGAAGTGGCTCACAATGCTGGAAGTTCACCCTGAGCAATCTTTTCCTGTTGGAGGAACTGTAGGCTCAGGGAAGACTTCGCAGTGTGCTGTTGTGCTGGTCCGGGGGAGGGGCAACACAGTCTGTCTCTGTCAGTGTGGTGCCTGGGTCTGTTTTAGTCTCACCTTTCTGTAATGGATTCTCTCAGTGGTGTCTTGTCTGCAAGTAGTTGTTTGTTCTTCTTCTGAGAGGGAGCGAATTTGGGAACAGCCTATGTTGGTGACGTCTTAGTGACATCACTTTCTATTTTTTTCTTAGTCGAGCTGAAGATTTGTTAATTTGTTTATCTTTACAAAAAACTTTCTCTTAGTTTCATTGATCTTTTTCTTTGCTGTTTTTTGGTCCTTATTTATTTCACTGTGATCTTTGTAATTGCCTTTCTTTTGCAAACTTTGGGCTTATTTTTCTTTTTCTAGTTCTACTTGGTGTAAAGTTAGATTGCTTATTTGAAATTAACTATTTTCTTTACATGTGCATTTGTCATTATAAATTACTTCTAAGAACTGCTTATTGCATCATCCCAATATTTTTGCCAGGTGGTGTTTTCATTTTCATGTGTTTTAAATATTTTTTTTATTTTCTTTTTATTTCCTTCTTTGACCCATTGGTTGTTTGGAGTGTGTTGTTTAATTTCTATATGTTTGTGAATTTTTCAGCTTTCCTCTAGTTTATTTGTAATTTCATATTGTTTTGGCTAAATAGGCATTTGATATGTTTTTAAGTTTGCTGACATTCTTTTTGTGGGTTATTATATGACCTGCTCTTGGTAATGTTCCATATGAACTTGAGAATGTATATTCTGCCAACATTTAATGACATGTTCTGTATATATCTGCTATGTCCAATTGATTTAAAGTGTGGTTCAAATCCAACATTTACTGTGATTTTCTGTCTGGATTATCCATCCATTGTTGAAAGTGGTATATTGACATGTTCCACTTTTATTGTGTTGCTACCAGTTTCTTCAGATCTGTTAGTATTTGCTTAATGTATTAGGTGCTCCAGAATTGGGTGTGTATATTAGGACTGTTATGTCTTCTTGAGGAGTTGACCCTGTTATCATTATATAATAATCTTCTTTTTGTCTTGTTATTATTTTAGGTTTAATATCTATTTTATCTTATATAAGGATAGCTAGTGCATTTTTCTTTTGGTTTCTACTTTCATGGAATATTTTTTAATCTCTATATTGAGACTGTGTGTTTTTACAACTGAAGCCAGTCTCTTAAAGGAAGAATTTAGTTGGGTTCCACTTTTTTATCCATCCCTTCTATGTTTTGATTGGTTCATTAATATCATTAGCATTTACAGTAATTGTTGACATGTAAAAGCATATTAATACCATATCTTTAATTGTTTTCAGGCTGTTTTTTAGTTCCCTTGTTCTTTTCCCTCATTCTTCCTGCCAACCTTTGTGAGTTGGTGGTTTTCTATAGTGGTATACTTTGATTTCCTTTTGTTTATCTTTTGTGAATCTGCTATAGCTTTTTGCTTTGCAGTTACCATGAATGTACATAAACCATCTTATAGATAAAATAGACCATGCTAAGCTAATTGCAGATTAACTTCAGTCTCATACAAAAGCTCTAACTATTTACTAGTCCTTTTTAAGTCACAATTTACCTCTTTTCAGATTGTACATTCATTATAAAATTATAGTAGCTATAATTAGTTTTTAATAATCTTTTCTCTTAACCTGTATGCTAATGTTAAATGGTTGATTCACAATTACATCACAGATTTAGAGTTTTAAAAATCTGTGTAATTTGTTTTACCAGTGTGTCACATTTTTGTATGTTTTCATGTTACTGATTATTGTCTTTTCATTTCAGATGGAAGAACTTTCAGCATTCCTTGTAAGGCAGGTCTGTTGGGGATGAACTCCCTCGGTTTTAGTTTGTCTGGGAAAGTTTCTATTTCTCCTTCATTTCTGAAGGATAAGTTTGTTGGATAAAGTATTTTTGATTGACTTGTTTTCTTTCAACACTTTGAATATGTTATTCTACTCTCTCCTGGCCTTTATAGGGATTGCTTTGTAAATTAAAATTGTTTTTTTTTCTCTTGCTATTTTTAGGATTTTCTCTTTATCTTTAATTTCTGTGAGTGTCATTATACTGTGTCTTTGAGGAGGCCATTTTGCATTGAGAAATGGGGCGGACTATTAGTTTTGTGAGTGTGGATCTCTACATCTCATCCCAGGCTTGGGAGGTTCTTAGCTATGATTTCTTTAAATAGACTTTCTGGCCCTTTTCTTTTTGTTCTCCTTCTGGTGCTCCAATTCTAATATCTCTATGTTTGATGGTTTCCCATAGCTTATGGATGCTTTCTTTGCACTTATTTTTTTCTTGTTCTCCCCTGCTCCTATCATCTAGATCACCAGCTTTATCTTCTATTTGGTTTATTCTGCTATGGATGTTCTTTATGACATTTTAAAAAACCAGTAATTAAATTTTTCACTTCTAGAATTTCTTTATGCTTTTTATTTGTGATTTTTATCTCTTTGTTAAAATTTTCATTTTGTCCATGAGATTGGCCTATTTCATTGAATTGTATTTCTGTGTTTCCTTGTAGATTATTAGAAGTTCCCAAAACCAGCCATTTTGAACTTTTGATCAGCTAAATGACTAAGTTCTGTGTCTTTGAGTTTGGTTGCTGAAGTATTATTGTTATCTTTTGGTGATTACTTGTTTCCTTGGTTCTTCATGTTTTTGGAATTTTGCATTGCTATTTTCACATTTGAAGTAGTAGTCACCTTAAATCTTTACTAGTTGTCTTCAGGTGGGAGATACTTTTTATTGGTCTTGTTTACGTTTGCATTGTTCTCCAACCTTGTATGACTATACCTGCTCCCCTCTTCTTTCTCCGTCTAGTGGCAGAATACTTAAACTTGCCTGTCTTCACCTGTTTTTAGAAGCTGGCTGCTGGAAACCTCTTTTTTGTTTTCCAGAAGGTGGCTACAGCTGAAGTTTGTGTTGTTTTCCTTTCCTTAGTACCCTGGCTTGATTCTCTGAGGGATATACCTGTCTACCAGAGCTTGCTCTCGCTGATCAGCTCAGGTGTACACATAAGGAGCAGGCCACAAATTGGGGGGAAATTATGGGCTTAGCATGTGGGGGGTGGTGGGTATTCACAGGTCAGGTGATGGGGGATCCATGATTTTAGTTTTTGCTGCAGCTCATGAGCAGGCTTCTTGTTGGACTAATGAGAACATTCAGCAGAAACTGTGTCCCTTTAATGCCTGTTCATATCTTTATCTGATCCTTTTCTGATCTTACTTCCCCAGTCCTGGAGGTCCTGCCTTAGTACTCTGGATGCTGCAGGAGAAAAACAGGTTTCTCCAGCTATGTGATACAGCCCAGGACTCACTCACTCCTTTCCCTTCCCCTAGAGGAGAGGTCACCACTGGCTAGTTCAGCCCTGTGCTTGGGGAGAGATGGCACTAGCGAAGTTACTCTACCCTCTCCAGTGTGTTCCAAACAGTTAAATCAGTCCAAAAGAATGCTGGAATCTCTTCTTCGAAAGGTGGAACTTCTGCAAAGCTTTTGTGTCCGTGGTTTTCTGTTGCCTGAGTCAGAGCTCTCCGGGTTTTGCCTGAAGGCAGCCAAGAGGGGCTGAGGTCTGTTCACTGACTGCTGCTGGTTCCACAGCCTACACTGAGGTCTGTCTGTCTTTTCCTGATGTGCAGGTGGGCAAGGCTTCTCCTGGGTCCCTTGATGAATGGTGCTCAATTACACAGTTCCACAAAAGTGCTTTCATTAATGGATGGATGCCAAATTTAGTGGTGAAAAAGGAACACAATAAGGAGGGACGTCTTATGCTGCCGTGATGCTGCTGTTGCTTCCAAAGGCAGTTTTATTTCTCCCTTCACAATTTGCATGGCTTTTATTTTCTTGTTGGCCAGTATGATTTTGAAAAGGAATGGTGAGAGGGGACTTTGTTGGCTTGTTCCTAGTCTTAGTGGGAAAACTTCTAATCTCAACCACTAGGTATAATGTTATCTATAGAGTTATTTTTAATTCTTTATCTTATTTAGGATTTTTGCATTTGTATTTATCAGACAGATTGGTCTGTAGTTTTCTTTTTGTGTGTTCTTCTTGCCCGGTTTTGATATCGGGGTAATGTTGGCCTCATAAAATATATTAGGAAGTATTCCCTCTTCTTCAATTTTTTTAGAAGTTTGAGAGGATGGGTATCAGAGCTTCTTTGAATTCACTAGTGAAACCTTCTGGTTCTGGGCATTTACTTTTTGGGGGGTTTTCAAAGTTTGTTTCAATTTCCTCGTTGTTGATCAGTCTATTTAGATTTTCCAGCTCTCTGTAGTTCAGTCTAGGAAAGTTATATATTTCTAGGAACTTATCCATTTTTTTCTAGGTCATTGATTTGGTGGCATATAGTCTTTTATAGAATTCTAGTATGGTCCTTAGTATTTCTGTGCTATGTCTGGTAACTTCTCCTCATTCATTTTTTATTTCGTTTGAATTTTTTCTCTTTTTTCCTTAGTGAGTCTAGCCAGGGGTTTATCAATTTTATTAACCTTTTCAAAGAACCAGGTCTTTGTCGCACTGATTTTTGTATCTTCTTTTTCTCTGTTTCATTTAATTATGTTCTCAGTTTATTATTTCCTTTCTTCTGTTGCTTTTGTTCTTTTTCTAGTTCTTTAAGATGTAATGTTAGGTTTTTTGCTAGGCCTGTAAACTTTCCTCTTATTACTGCTGTTGCTGCATCTCAAAAGTTTTGTTATGTCATATTGTCATTCTCATTAGTCTGTATATATCTTTTGACTTCACCTTTTAATTCTCCTTTGACCCAGTCACGTTTTAATAACATTCTATTTAATCTCCACGTATATGTGTCTTTTTTTTTTGCTTCCTTTTTGCAGTTGATTTATGATTTCAATGCATTGTGGTTGGAGAATATGCTTGGCATGATTTCAGTCTGCTTGAATTTGTTGATGCTAGTTTTGTGTCCCAGTATATGATCTATCCTTGAGAATGTTTTATGTGCTCTAGAGAAAAATGTATAATCTGATGTTCTGGGATTAAAATGTTCTGTAAATGTCAATTATGTCCATTTGGTAGAATGTGTCATTTAAGGCTGATACTTCTTTATTGATTTTCTGTTTGGATGATCTATCTATTGCTGTCAATAGGATAGTTAAGTCCCCTACTATGATTGTGTTTTTGTCAGTTTCTCCCTTTAGGTCTGTGAGTAGTTGCTTTATATATTTCAGTACTCCTTGATGGGGTATATACATAGTGAGAAGTGTTATGTCTTCTTGATGTAGTGTCCCTTTTGTCACTATAAAATGTCCATCTTTGGCTCTTGCTACCTTTTTTCAACTTGAAATCTATTTTGTCTGATATAAGTATGGCTACACTTGTTTCTCCGTTTGCTTGGAGAATCATTTTCCACCCTTTCACTTCGAATCTGTATTTGTCTTTGCAACTGAGATGTGTTTCCTGAATTCAGCAGATAGTTGGGTTTTGTTTTTTGATTCAATTTGCTACTCATACCTTTTAACAGGTGAGTTCACTCCATTTATATTTAGGGTGATTATTGATATAAGAGGATTTCCTATAGTCATTTTATCTTTTGTTATCTGCTGGCTGTGTCTCTATTTTTCCTTTTCTCCACTGTTTCTGTCTGTTATTTTCATTTGGTTGTATTCTGTATTCCCCCTGCCTTTATTTCCTTTTTTGATATCTTTTTTTCAGTTCTAGATTTTTTTGTTTTGTTTTTACCATTAGGTTTATGCAAAAGCAAATTTAATATATACAGTAGTCCTTTTTCTTAACAATTGCACTTTCTTTTCATTGACCTGTGCAAATTCAGTTTTTTATCCCTTTGCCTTCTATGTTTTTGTTGTCACAAATCACTTTTTAATGTTGTGAGTTTATTTCCATGTTTCAATAGCTATTTTCTTCTTTTTTAAAAAGTAGTTTTACCTTCTTGAACTTTTATATTATATTTAAGGTTTTCACACCCTATTCTGAATGAGGGTTTCAATTTCAGGTTCTGCCTCTCTGTTAGTCATCTTGCTCATAGTTTTGTATCTGTTTTTCTGTCTGTTTCAGACAGAAGAAGCCCTTCAGCATTTCCTATAATACAGCTGTTGTAGTGGTAAATTCCCTCAGCTTTTGTATGTCTGGAAAAGTCCAAATCTTACATACCTACAGGATAACTCTGCTGGATATATTATTCTTGGATGGTTATTTCTTTCTTTCAGTACTTTGAATATTTAATTTCTTTCTTTCCTTGCTTATAGGGATTCTGCTAAAAAATCTGATGATAATCTAATTAAATTTCATTTATTTATTACTGCCTCCTTTTCTCTGGATGCCCTGAAAATTCTTTTTTTGTTGTTAGTTTTTGATAGTTTTAATAATAATGTGTCTTGGAGAAGTCCCTTTTGGATTGAGATAATTAGGTATTCTGTTAGCTTCTTATATCCAAGACTCCAAAGGTTTGGGAAGTCTTTGTCAATTATTTGCTTGAATAGGCTCTCTGTTCCCCTCCCCTGCATCTCACCTCTTAGAATACCCACTATTTGTACATTGCTCTTTCTAATGGAGTCTGATAGTTCTCATAGAGAGTTCTGTTTCTTTTTTACTCTGGATTCTCTCTTTTCTTCCACCAGAGTCATTTCTAGATTTCTATTTTCTATGTCACTAATTCTTCTCTCCATCTTGTATGTTTTATTTCCTAAGCCTGCTAGTTCATCCTTTGTCTCTTTTATTGAGTTCTTCAGCTCTGTAATTTTTCTTTTCTTTCTTTTTTTATCATCACCTGAGGATATGCTCATTGATTTTAGAGAGAGGGGAAAGGAGGGAGAGAGGGAGAGAAACATTGATGTGAGAGAGAAACATCGATGGGTGGCATCTAGTATGTACCCCAACCAGAGAATGAACCTGCAACCTAGACATGTGCTCTGACTAGGAATCAAACCTGTGACTTTTTGGTTTATGGGACAATGCTCCAACCAACTGAGCCACACCAGCCAGGGCCTTTTTGGTTTCTTTATATATATAATTTTAATCTCTTTGGTGAAATATTCCTTTTTTTCACTGATTTTATTTCTAAGTTTGTTGAAATACCTTTTTGAATTATCTTGGATATTGTTGGGTTTTTCAGAACAGCAATCTTGAATTCTTCCATTTAAGTTGCATATTTCCATGTCTTTATGTTTATTTTCTGGAGATTTTTTTTGTTTCTAAATTCCCTTGATTTCTGGATATTCACTGTGCTTGATGGATTATTCCTCTGCCTTGACATTTGTGGAAATGAAAGCTGCTTTTTTTAAATGTTAGGAAGCATTTTTAAAATTAAATGTATCTGAAAGCTGTTTTTAAAAAGAACTTTGAAAATGGTAAATGGTATTGAAAAAAATACAATGAAGATTTTTTAAAAAAAGAGCTTTGATAGGTAGAGGTCTTTTTTAATTTTCCTGTAGGTGGCGCAGAAGCACATGTTTTATTTTCTCTTACCGGCTCTCCTGGGGCTTCTGGTGTATCTGTAGTGCAGTGTCTCCTCCACAGGGGAAAGTGCTCGGTATTCCCCAGGCGGTGGGCACCCTCTCCATGCTCTGGTGCCTCAGTCTTAGGACAGCACTTCTGTGGGTTGAAAGAGATGGACTATGATTAGGACAAACTGCCAAGTGCCTTCTAAGAAGGACAACATCATTTCTGTGAAATATTTCAGCATATACACATATACACATACAACATTATGAAGGTAATATGACAGAAGTTTGAGCATTGAATACCCTGAACAGAGTACTTTTCCCCCTGTACATTTAAACCACGGAACATAGACATTAGATTCATGTTCTTAAATTGAGATCTTAGAAACTGAGTGACATTTTATATTATTTTGAGAGACAGTATAGCACGGTGGTCTAGTGGCAGAGCTTCTGACACCCAGTTGCTTGGGTTTAAATCCTGGCCCTCTCCCTTACCAGCTGGGTGCCTTTTGGCAGGTCAAATATCTATACCTCAGTTTATTCATCTGTAAAGTAGGAATAATAATAGTCCTGACCTCAAAGGGCTGCTGTGAAGATTTAATGAATAAACTTATATAATAAGTGCTCAGAATAAAGACTCACGTAGTAGGCATCATAAAGGTGTTTGCTATTATTTAGTAATTAATTTATTAATAAGAGAAACCATCAGTTCCTAATGTTATGCTTTATCTAAGTATCTGATGTCCTCTTAGAATAAAAAAACCCTTTGCTTAAAAATCAAACAAACAGAAGCAAACAGAAGAAAACGATAATAATCAAGGTCAGTATGATGCTCATAGATGTTTAACAACTACTCCTGGGGGGAGGGTAAAATCCTCATTTGTAAGTGCAAATACTTCAAGTTACCACGGCACTACACTGAGCTTGGAGACTGGAAGAGAGGCACACAGTCGGCCTGGGAACTGGCTGCGTCTGGCCTCCAGCTCACGCGGGACATGTCTCATTTTCACTAGAATTAGGTTATGTGTTTTTGAAATTGCACATTACAATTTCAGGAGATCACTTGAAAATATTAAATTTTCTTCATGCCAGTATTGTGAGCCTTACTTCCTATTTAGCTCTCGTGTGTGTGTGTGTGTGTGTGTGTGTTTATGTGTGTGTCTATCTCTCTCTGTGTACACACTTTAAGAAATAAAGCGTTTGATCTATAGGCTTATCTCAATAAATCAACAAACCAAAATTACACTAGGAAAACAAAACCAAAGAGATAAGCTTGATAATCCATCTAATAATTTTATGTTCTATAGGAAAACACATTAAAATCATCACTTACATGTTTAAAATGATCCTAGGTGTGCACTTCCCAGCAGCAATGCCTCTGTGATAGCGGCTGGAGCAGCGCGCGCTGTGACCGGCAGTCCAGAGACGCGCACGGGGACAGGGCAGGCAAGTGTCTGTGTCTTCGCACACCCGGTGAATAAAATCCTCAAATAGCTTGTCTTGACAAAAACAAAGTTACGTTTTTGCCACTTAGGAAGAAACCTGTATTTGTAATTAAAAGGTAAATAGACTTCTTTCAAGAAATGGAAACCAAATATGCCTTCTTAATCTTGCTTTTTTTTTCCTCACATTAACTTTCCAATAATGTGGTTGAAGCTGAGAGTATCTTTTAAAGTTTGTATTTACTGATATCATTGATTTTCTTCTTTGAAGACTCTCTTTCAACATTCCCGCCTTCATAATTGATCCTGTGATCTCAGCTATACACAAACGATTATTCTGTGTGACTTTGTGTTTGTTAGTAGAAGAAATAAAGGAAGTTGAAGATAAGTTTTACTCTGAGGGAGTTTGTTTTAAATGAGAAACATTCACCAATTGCTGTTAAAGAGATCCTAGAAAGAAGCTAGCACAATGTTGCATTTGTGCACCATGTTTTTCATTCATTGGCAAATATTTATTGAACTCCTAATATTATGCTAGGTGCTGGTCATATGGCATGAGGGATATACAGTAAGCTAAACAAAGTCCCTCTTCTCGTGGAGCTTAAGAATGTGTGTAGGACTCCATGCCCAGTGCTACCTAGTTGTAGAATAAGGGTTAGGAATCAAGTCTCCTGATTTTTATGCCAGTGCCATTTTAGGAGTGCTGCAATGGCTAGATATATATATCGATATATATCCCGTTTTTATATAAAAACAGATACCTAATGTCAAAAAGTCAACAATTTAATAAAGAAAAACAGGATATGCACAAATATAGTGAGGTTCTATAATACTGCAATCTGTAACAATGCAAATTTGTTGGATAACTTGGCACCATACCACACTATACTTGTATATCATTGAAATTTTGGGGCCCCACTTACAGTGTTATAAAGTGAGTTTTTGTTGTAGCTGCTGTGTAATATAGAATACATTGCAACTTTCTGGAACTTGGCATTCATTCTGTTAAAGTAAGAGGTAGTAGAGATAGTCCGAAGTATTATGATTCTATTATGTTTTGTGTTACTTTAAAGACAACAAAAATTAAGAACAGTGTAATTAGTTTGATGCAACTTGAAAGTAAAAGTAGACAGCTTAATTTTACTTTCAAGTTGCATCAAACTAATTACAGTGCTCTTAATTTTTGTTGTCTTTAAAGTAAACTCTGATTTTTTATTTTTTTGTTTGTTTTTAGGTTTAATCATGAAAAGAGCTTTTTGGGAATCTGAAAAGAACCGGTGGCTTCTAGGTTTCTACATTGCTTTACCTGTTCTCATCATAGCAACAATAATAGCTATTTCAAGGAATCGTTTGAAAAAGTGGTTCACCAAGGAAGAGGAATCCCTAAGTAGCAAGTAAATTTGTGTTCTGAAGTTAAACTTCAGTGCCATTTGAATCTAATCATATATAAGGCATTATCATGAGCAACAATGCTATACTTTATAACAATTTTGAGTATTATATCGATATGTCATTTAATTATGTGCTATAATTTTGAATAGCCTCATTTTAGAGATACAAAAATTGGGAATGTAATTTTAAGTAACTATCAAAAGTCATTGTCTTGGTAATTGAGAGAGGAAGAACTTTAATGTACCTTTGTCTATTTCTTTCAAATAACCCTAGTAGTTCTCAGTAATCTGTGTCACCTTGAAGGAGAAACAGCTGGGTCTTTATTAAAATGCAGATTTCTGGGCTTTCTCACACATGAAATACTGCAATTTGCATTGCTACCTCACATAAGAGATACTTTTAAAAAGATCCTCTGGATCAAGTCTTTAGAAGGTGAATTTATAGTTCATTCTGCAAGATATGTTTATTTTTTTAAAAATTATTCAAACATAGAAACACAGAAAAAGGTGACAACTCATTTGCCCACCATTAGAAATAGACAAATGTTAAGATTGTTCTTATTTCTCTTATGAAATAAGTCTGGCGTCTACAGCTGCAGTGCCACCCTAGGGTTTTTGCCTTCCCTGTGGAGAACACTCTGGACACTGGCAGCTGATGTATGTTACATGTTTTTACGACAGGTGGCTGTATCCATGTGCCATACCTAGAATTACGTATTATTTTAAATATTTATACTTTTTTATAGGTACATTTTCTCTTCTAATTTTGTTTATGTAGTTTTTCTTTTTTTACCTTTTCGTGGGCGGTTTTGGTTTCCCTGAGATCTCTATATTTTCTTTGTGTTTATTATCCTTAATTTATGCCCTTTTCCTCCTATTTGCTCTTGTTACCTTTGCTCTGTTATAATTTTCGCTTTCTTGACTGTAATGCTTTGCTTACTAATTTTCAATTTTTCTTATTTTTTAGTATAATCTTCAAAAGTTAAAACTTTCTCCTTTGTATATCATTTTATCTTCAATCTCAAGTTTTTAAGATATAGCTGACATATAGTTCAAAAAGTTAGAAATTTCCAGTATGATTTCTTGTTTAAATCATGACTAAATTGTGTTTTATAGTTTCCAGTTATGTGACTAATTTTTATTGTTGTAAAAATAATTTTCAATTTTATTACTAAATTAGGAGAGACCTCTCTCTCTATTATTTAGACTCTTAAATGTTGGAACCAGAAAGGAAGTAAGTTTTTGTTAAAAAAAAAAGTGTCCTTAAAATGTAGTGTTCAATTATTGTGACATGGTATGTTTGTTCCCTTGTTTTTAGAATTCTTTTTTTATTGTGTTGTTTCAAATCTTTATACTTACTGAGTTCTTTTCCCCCTGTCTGCTTCATGACATTTTCTGTGAGAAGCAAACTGAAGTTTTCAATATACCACGGCTTTCCTTCTGATTATGGAAACTTCTGCTTTATATATTCCAAGGCAAAGACTATACTTTCAGGGATCATTTCTATAGTTCATTATATATTCCAAGGGAGTGAGGAAATGCATAAAGTTAAAGTTAGTTATGTTTTTAGCTGTATTTTTATTATTAATAATTTTATCTGAAATTCTACTCTCACTGTTTTAAATTGTTATAACTTGCTATTTGAAAATTTGATTTACCTAGTACATCTTTTTTTCATCCCATATTCTCAACCTTTCTATGTTTTTAGTTGGTGTGTTACAGACAGCCTTTATATGGAATGTAGTAGTGGAGTTTGTTATGCTTAATGCATGGTGGTGTATACTTAGGCAGAAATTTACCATCTTATTTTTTTTCTATTTACCATCTTTGTTCCTAACTTTTTTCTTTTCCCATAATCCATTTTCTTGATTATGGTTCTTTTTATTTTTCTTCTACTATTTTGTACATTTTTGTATTTTTTAATACTTTTCTTTAAACTTTAGTATTTATGGTTAATGTTATATAATGTCTAGATTTAACATTGTATGTAGCCTTCTTCCTATAAGATGTCTCCCTGTAAGATCTTACATAGGCATCTTAGCCCTGTAACATGAAGCTCTCTTCTTCAGTTTGTCATTTAGTTTTCAGTTTCCCTCATGTAAATTATTGTTATTTTGTTATTATCATTATTATATGTAGCCACACTTGCTAGAATTTCCTATTATATTTCCCAACACCTTTGCTTTTTATTTTTTATTTTAAACTTTTTGTCTGGAAACTAAGAAATGTAAAAAAATTGCAAAAACCAGCACACTTGTACTCATTTAGGTTTTCCTAGTGATAACATCTTACATTAATATAGTGCATTTCACAGCCAGGGAGTTAGTATGATACATTATTGTTAAACTACAGATGGATTAGTCATATCCATCAGTGTGTAAATGCACTCATATATGAGTATGTGTGTGTATAGTACTATGAAATTTTGTCACATGGTTTTGTGTAGCAACACCACAATCATCACCATTCTTTTTGATATCCTACTTTTTATTTTTAATTCTAGGTTTAGTTTTCTTCCTGGGGAAGCACACAGTTCAGGAGTTATTAGAGAGACTATGTGTAATAATTTGTTGGACTTATATGTCTGAATTCCATCACTGTAAAACCCCCCTCTCATTCCACCTCCAGCTTCTGGCCCTGACAGATCTGTCTTCTTTGCTTATACCTTTGCCTATCGCAGAACTTTGTATAATGGAATCACACAGCATGCAGTCTCTTGAGCCTGCCTGCTTTCCCTTAGCATAACGCATTTGATATTCACACACATCGTTAAGTATATCAATAGCTTGTTCTGTTTATAGTTTCAGTGATGTATAATTGATACTGGACTTCAGTAAATTGCATATATTTTACATGAAACCATTCCCACAATCAAGATCACAGGGGCATCTGTCGACCCCGAGTTTCCTGGTGCCTCTTTGTAGACCCCAGCCCTTGCCTCTCCCATCGCCTTCCTTCTCAGGCTGCTGCTGATCAGTTTTCTGTCACTGTAGTTTAGTTTGCATTTTTTAGAACTTTATATAAATGGAATTTTACAGTGTGTACTTTTTATTTTTGTCTGGTTTGTTTCATTCACTATAATTACTTTGCAATCGATCCATGTCCTCATGTGTATCAATAGTTTGTTCATTTATGATACCTATTCAGTTGTATGAGTATACCATAATTTGTTAATCCATTTATCTGTTGATGGATTTTTGGGTTGTTTCTGGTATTTAACTGTTATAAATAAAGCCACATTTGTCTAGTAATTTGACAAATTACTAGAAGATGGTAGTTATAGCTGAAAAGCCTCATTTTTAAATTGGGTTGTCTATTTTTAGTAAGTCATTAAAATCTTTTAATTATTTCTATAATGGGCCGTTTGTTTCCCTGTTATTACATTTGAGTGTTTTTTATATGTCTGGATACAAGTACTTTATCATACATATGATTTGCAAATACGTTCTCCTATTCTGAGTCTTGTCCGTTAATACAAATAGCAGAAATTTCAAATTTTGGTGAAATCCACTGTATCAGTTTCTTCTTTTATAGATCATGGTTTCAGTGTTGGATCTAGGAAATATTTGCCTAACCAAAATTCATGAAGATTTTTCTCTTATGCGTTCTTCTAAAAATTTTATAGTTTTAGGTTTTGCATTTAGGCTCATGTTCACTTTAAATTAGTTTGATACAGTTAAAGAGGTATGGATCCAGTCAGTTTTTCTTTTGTATAAGAATATCCAATTGCTCTAATACCACTGTCTTTTGAGCTTCATTAAGCAGGATTGGAATAGTCACCACTACTGAGGCAATACCCTTTTGAGTAACTCTGCCCAACTCACCATGAATTATGAGATTTTTTTTACCTGAGGTGGTGGGTATACAAACTATTCCTGTGCCTTTGTGAGCACAACAGATTGCTGCTCCCTTTCTTCATTTCAAAATGTTTTTCCCTCTGACTCAGGTGGTTTCCTCACTTGCACTTCTGCCTAAGACTCAAGGGGGACCCTCCGCAGATCTCAAGAGGTCTCCGTGTGCAGCTCTTTCCCTTTCTGCTATTTTGCCCTGTGGATTCTAGCCCCCTTGCCCTTTCTAGACTCCCCATTCTATTATCCCAACGCAGGGAACCTTCTGGCTTTGCCGGCATCCCCGGCCGTGCTGTCGCCTAGAAACTCTCATCAGGCAATAGAAGGGTCAAATATAGGTCTCATCTTTTTTATTCCATTGTCTCAGAGATCACTATCCTGCATTGGCATATTCAATGTCTCAAAACCAGTGTTTCATACACTTCGTTAGGACTTTCAGTTATTTCATGTGGGAGGGTAACTCTAACCTGTTACTCCATCTTGGCCAGAATTGGAAGTTTGTCTTTATGGTTTATAACTGTGTATCCCATGTTCTGTTTTATATCCTCGGTTCAGACTTTCATTTCACCAACTCTCCCTCCATCTCTGTCCTATAACAGTCTTATGGAATCTATCCTTGCAAAGATTTCTATGCAAGAATGTAATTCTTATAATAAAGTTATAAAAATAATTCGTGTGGTATTTCTTAGCATGTGAATTTGCTGAGGTGCTGTGAATGTTGGTGCTCATGCTTTTCGTGGTTTGTAATCGTAGACTCTCCTATCCTCAGTGTCTATGATTTTCCCATGAAAACTCTGCATGCCCTTGTTGAAGACACACATATGTGGATTGTTTTATTTTTGCTTCTTTTAAAGCAAAAATATTCAAAACAACTGCAATGCATGGTGTTCAGGCACTTACAGTGTGTGAGCTGCGTTCCTGAAAGTATACTTTTTAAAGGCTTGACAGTCCTATTCTTCTCATTGATATACCTTTCCCGTCTCATCTTCCTGTTGCTTTCCAAAGGCCACTGGTCAGAGGTGATTTTTTTTTTATCTTGAGACAAAACTTTTATTTTTCCTCTCCTATGTGCACTTTAAAAAAAATTAAATTTATTAGGGTGACATTAGTTAATCAGATTATATAGGCTTCAAGTGTCCAATTCTGTGGTCAGAGGCTCTGTTATCCCTGTTTATGGGTGGAATGGCCCTTCCTGGCTCCCAGGTCTAGTGAAGGAGCCCACTGACAGTTTCCCACAGGCAAAGGCCTCACACCTGATTTCCTTTTAAGGAAGGGCTTCTAAATCTCCAGTCCCAAAGGTGTATCGCAGGCTCAGATATCACTGCAGTCATTCAGTTTTAGCTCCTGTTTATCCTCTGAACTCCGTATCTTAATTTTTACTAGCACCAGGAGAAGTCTTTTCTTGTTTTTAATCTCAGTTATGTATTAAATTTTTGTTAGTTTTTTTCAGCACTCCTCTATGTGAGGAATGGGAGGGGAAAATAATCTTGCTTGTCTGTGCTACAAGATTGTCTAGAAGCCAGTAGGGATTTTAATTTACAAAATGTAGCATTTCTCACCCTTGCCAGTGTGGTTCAGTTGGTTGGAGTGTTGTCCCATAACTAACAGGTTGCAGGTTCGATTCCTGGTCAGGACATGTACCGAGATTGCAGATTCAATCCCCAGTCCAGGCGTGTATGATCCTGGTCTGGACACTTAAGGGAGGCAACCATTTGATGCTTCTCTCTTGCAATGGTGTTTTTCTCTCTCATCCTCTCTCTCTAAAAGCAATGAAAAAAATGTCTGAATGAGGATAAAAAATATGTAGCATTTCTTTATCAATGAATAAAAAGTTAAAAGTTGAGGTGTAACGAATCAGGCATTCAGAGTCAAACCTATATTTTGTGTTTAGCAGTGACAAGCAGAAAGCAATGCAAATATGTGCCTTCTTAATACTGTCCTCACCATGGGATCTGGCACTTGCATTCTTTGTGGATGAGGTATACGGGTAAATAAAAATGTTATTTATTGGCCTCTTTTTTCAGTGACCTGGATATTATCTACTTTATTGATAACCAGTCTTGTAAAAGAGATAATACTGCTTATAAACTGGTCTTTTATTCATGCAGTAGGTGAACTTTCCCGGGACTAACTCGAGACATTATTTTCTATTTTTTAAATACCCAGATCAGAAAGCAGTTCTCATACATATACCACCACCAGGTAAGTAAATTAGAAAGCTTTTTAAGATACATGTTGAAAATAAAAATGAACTAATAAATCACACTTAATTTCTAGATATTGTTTGAACTCTTGCAATTGGTAAAGTAATGCACTGAAACCAGGGTACTAAATATAAAAAGTTACGTTCTAGTAAATTAGTCTTTTACCTCTTTGGAAGTCTAGTTTGAAGAAACAAGGAATAAAATAGTTGACTCTAATAAGAAATAGAATATGTATAATTAGTAAAGAAAAAGCATGTGTAGCCCTGCCAAAGAAATATTGCAGGTTTGGTTTTGACCACTGCGATAAAGTGAATATTGTAATAACGTGAGTTATTACATTACTGGATCCTAACTCCTGTTAATGTTGCTACTTTGACCTCTTTCCATGAATCACTGATGTTTTTAATGGCATTTAGAATGGTGAACTCTTTGCAGAAGGTTTTCAATTTACCTTGCGCAGATCCAGTCTGTTTCTTAGAGTTACCTGACATAACTTTTTCACAAGCTGGGCCCTGAAAAATATCTTGCCAATGGGATTAAAATAAATAATCTCAAGCGTTTTCCAGTAGTTGAATTTAATATGTTTATGTACTTAAAACATGTTTGCCAATATATTTAGACTAAAGCCTACCATTTTATTTTTTCTATTGACCGTACTTTTCAGTATTGTTTCTACTTTCTTACATTCCATTATATCGATTGTGCTGTTACTGTGTTTTCTTTCCATCTATTAATTTGGTCATTGTATGTTCTAATTTTATTCTTTAAGTTGTATTATTTAGTTATTAAATTATTATGTTATTTAATTTTTAAATGTAGTTAATTTTGCAATTATATATGTATATATATGTATATTCATAGTCTTCTAATGATATATAGATCTTAACTCAGTTAACCCTATGAGGCCTGTCCAGAAAGTATCCACCCATGTACTATGAAAAATAGAGACGTTTATTGAAAATACAAGATACCAGAAACATTGTACATAGGACAATGATGCTTCAGTCCCCTTCAAAGTAGGCACCTTGGGACCTCACACAGTTCTCCCAATCACCATCAGCTGTCCCGTCATATTTTCCTGAATCTCACCGACAGTTTGAAATCTCTTCCCTTTCAAAGGTGATTTTAGTTTTGGGAAAAACCAGGAGTTGCAAGGTTCCAAATCTGGGCTGTAGTGGGGCTGAGTCACCTGGGTGATTTGATGTTTCGTCAAAAACTCTGCATGAGACGTGATGCATGAACAGGCACGTTGTCACCAATCACCTGCTGCCCATAGCTGCATCCGTCTGAATCATTTGAATAGTTTCAGGGGAGAAATATTCAACTTAATGCAAAATATGATGTAGATTTGTTGCTCTGCTTGCTTAGTCACTTTGAATGCCACAGCCACAAAAGACACATGTTCGCTCAACAGCATTTACTGCCCCCACGGATTAGGATAGTGAAGTCATCCTTGTTCATGGATGTGCATTCCAGTCCACTGTCCTTGGCTGCCAGGTTACATTGGTATCACGCCAGCTGTTCTCATTATATTAAGAATGGCTGGACTTTTTCCAGACAGATCTCATACATGCTTTCCTTCACTCACTTTTATGTAATTTTATCATTTGGGGTTTAGTTACTCCTGAATTTTAATCTACTACAAATCTTTTAATATTCAGTACCCGTTTGAAGAAGTACCATATTTTTGCCACTCATGATGCACACTTCTTTGCCCAAACTTTTTGAGGGAAAAATAAGGATGCATATTATACACGGGAAGTAGTAATAAGACATGGGGGCGCATTATACGCTGTGAAATGCGGTACGTCTCTGAGAAATTCTATTAGTGAGTCTGTGTGTAGTAAGTTGTTTTATCTTATTTGCCTGGAATTGTCTTTATTTTATTTTCACTCTCGAATGTGCATTTGTGGAGTATGGACGTCTAGGTTGAGAGTTCTTTTGTCTCAGCTATTTGATGATGTCAGTGACGCCTGGCATTTACTGATGACGATGATAAATCTTCTGTTAGTGTGTTAATTAATTTATTCCTTTTCATACTTAGTGACTTCAAACAACATTCATTTATTATGTTGAAGTTCTGTAAGTCAGAAATTGGGTGGACTTGTCTGGGTTGTCACAAGCGTGACCTGAAGGCCGGAAGGCCAGGCAGGCTCTTAGCTCATTCGGGTTGTAAGCAGAGCCTAATTTCTTGCAGTTTTAGGTCTGAGGTATTTATTTCCTTGCTGTCTGTCTGCTAGAGGCCCCTCCTGATCCTAGAGGACACCCGCATGACCTTGCGTGTACCTCTCTTTGTCTTCAAAAAGACAAGGGCCTGTCAAGTGTTCCTCCGGCTTTGACTCTCTCACCTCCTCTTCTGCCACCAGCAGGAGAAAACTCTCTTTTTAAAGAATTCATTTAATTGGGTCATGCCCACCAAACTCTCTGAATTTTATAATCAACTGATTTGAGCTTTAATTACATTTGCAAATTCTCTTCAGAGCAATACTTTAAAGGATGTTTGAGTGTCCAAAGAATGGGAGTCTTAGGGTGCCATCTTTAGAACTTGGCCTAGCACAGCCTCTAAAGTTTTTCTTTGTTCATAGAGATTTTGTTTCATTCTGGCAATTTTTTAAAAATCATGAACTGGACTCAGTGTTTTCTTTCAATGTGAAGGCTTACTTTGGAAAAGCTCTAGACTTTTTCTCTTCAAATATTGAGTATCCCTATTCTAAATCTTCTATTATTTTTTTCCCATTTTTTTTTAAGCCTGTCTTTTATATACAGGGATGGGCAAAAGTAGGTTAAATTATCTGCCACCATTACCTAAAAGATAAGTCATAAGTAAGGATATGAAATTGTAGCATGGCGGCGAGACAGGGTGCACCGTTGCGGGGGATGAGGGAGTGCTGCTTGGGTGGCCGCTCACCCCGGGTCTGGGCAGCAACGGCCACAGGGGGGCGGAGCAAGTCGCAGGGAGTGTGACGCCCCTGGAATCTGAGCGATACCCTCCGGGCCCGCTGAGACGGGAGCGGGGCTCTGAATCCCACAGAGCCTGTCCCGGGTTGTCACGGATGCGGGGAATAAACATGAGTCGTTACAAACACTTCTCTCTTTGCCAGGAGAGGGGACGCGGCACCTCCCCCTAGTGGGGAAGGCCCCGAGCCCCTTTGTTCAAAGGCTTTTATTGAAAAGGTTATCAGTGGGGCCAGGTTAAGAGGAATGCACAGGTTATCTCATTACATCGGTATGTTAATGCTTACAGAGAATAGGTGATGTTTTGAAGAAAACAAATGGCAGGAACACACCGATTTACCTGGGTCTGAGAGGACACCAGTAAACAAGAGAGACAACTAAACAGGAGAGAGTAGTAAACATAGGGGTGCCCAAGGGTAAGGGGTTACGGTCTGTGAATAATGTAAATTTCCTTCCCAGCATGAGCGGGCTGTAGCTTCTGAGGGAAGAACAAAGCACACTTTAAAGAGTTTGCTTTTAGGTCTGATTTCCCTGGGAACTGCCAGGTCTGGTTTAGGACTGACTCCGGTATTGTTTCGAGCCTGAGGCAGGCGGGGGCGAGGGCGCGGGGCGGGGGAGAGGGAGCTGCCAAGAGGCAAGGAGACTTCTTTCGGGTAGAATGAGGACTCCAGCCATGTCCAAGCCAAGCCGAGGGGTACGTGCCTTTTTGCTCTTTCTCCATGTCCCCCAATTTCTTGTCTGCTGCCAATATTCAATCAGCATCTGTCTCAGGTTGTATATCTCAGCTTGAGATAACTTACCCGACATGGATCACCAGTCATCCATGGCAAAGCAGAGAGGCAGGAGCTAATGCCCCTGCCGGGGGCCCGGGGGGGGGGGGCGGGGGGGGCGCGGGGACAGGTTATGTCTCCACAGGAGCCTGTTTCTCCAAGGCCTCCTGATTATTTCCAGCCTGGGGCCCTCCAGCCTGTTGACGGGGTTACAGTTCCTGAAACCAGACAGGGCGTTTCCCAACATGAAATAATAACCCTAATGATAAGGGCAAGATGACTTAAGAGGAGCAGCCTAGCCAGAGACCCCCTCCCAGGTTAACTGTTAATCATTGCTCATCTGCTTCTGTAGCCCGTTTTCACATCCCTTCCCCCGCCTGGGTAGCACATCAATCTCATCAATCTCCCACCTGAATGCTAATCCCTTCCCCCACCTGGGAAGCCCATCCGTTTCCCGCCGGAATGCTAGGGCTTATAAACCCCTATCTAACCCCGATTCGGGGCTCAGGATTTGGAGACTGCCTCCTCTGAGCCCGCGCGTGTGAATAAAGGCTTACTCCGTTCCCTGAATCGTGTCTTGAGTCTGGCTTTCCGTAACACTAATAATAAGATAAATAATACAAATAAAATAAAAAATAATAAATAAATAATAACACAAGAATAAACTGTGTTTCCGGTACTCACAACTGTAAACCCACTTTTGCCCCACCCTGTATTTCTGTTTACCTAGTGTTCTGGATGATTTCTCTATACAGTTTAAAAATCAGCAATTCTTTTTTTTTTCCCTAGTTTTGTCATTTCTTGGTTAATGCATCCTGTTCCTTCATTGATCCCTACAGGAATCCTAAATATTTTTTTCAACCTTTTCTGTTACCTGTAATTCTTGTCATATGAATTCTTTAGTTTGTTCTGACTGTGGACATTACCTCTTGGTGGCTTTTTTTCTTTGATTGCAAGGCCATTTTAAGCAGCAAGGACTGTCTCATGAGAATTCTACATATCCTGCTTTTAGAATACTCTCATAGAGAGTATTTCATGTTTTACCCTCTTAAGTCACCAATTTTTACAGCACTGGTTAGACCTGGAACTCTAGAATTCAAAAGAAGCATGAGCTGGTATTCTGAACCTATCCTTGTTAAAGACTTAAGGTCTCTGCTTCTCTGTGTGGTATTTTTGTTATCCATATCCTTAAACCATTTTAAGCACTTAGGGTTCTTGTGTCTCCAGGTAGTCCTTTTTCATCTGCACTTGTAAAGAAATTTCCCTGCCCTATCCTAAAGACTATTGGTAATGGCTTTTACTCTTCCTGTTTCATGGGTGGTGTGGCCCTTCATGGCTTCCAGGTTTAGAGAAGGTTAGTTCCAGCTTTCTAGAAGGTCTCAACTCCTTATAAGCTGATGTATACAACCGATTTACATAACTCTGGAGTAATTCAGCTTTAGTTCCTATTTATCTTCTGTGCTTTCAATTTTCTCTGCTTTAAAAAAAACTATATTAGAAGTGTCCCTTTCCTGTACACTTGGGTTTTCCCCCATTTCGCCATGTGTGGGGTGGGAGGGGGACATGGCACTGTCATCCCTGATTGTCTAGAAGGCAGTGCAGGTTTCAAATCGTGATCTGCAGTAATTCAGTTATTGGTGGAAAAAACACTTGGTTGGAACCTGAAGGCTAGAATCAGGCATTCAAGATCAAGCATATATTCTGTCCTGGGTACTAATAAGGAGAAAAACAAATGTGTTACTTACTCCTCTCCCTCACTGGGGATTTGAAATTTATATTATTTATGAACATGGTATATGTCTAAACAAGAATGCTATTTAGTTGCATACCCTAATTTAGTAATCATTTGAGGTTATTCATTAGTTGTGACTAGTGGTATAAAAAAGTTAATTCAGGTTATAAAATGGTCTAAGATTCATTTTTTAAAGGCACATTTTTTAAAGAATTAACTTGGAAGCATTATTTTCACTCTCTTTTAGATCCAGATCAGAAAGCAGCAGCCAAACAGATACTGCCAGGTAAGTGACTTAGGAAGTATTTCTTAAAATCAGTATGTTAAAAAGTAAGATGAACAAATTAATAATCAACAATTAATTGGTAAGTATTAATTAAGCAGCAAAAATTGGTACACTACTGCACCAAAGAAAACACAACAAACAACACCCAAACCTATTAATATTTGCCAATCTAGTAACTAGCACTGATCTGTATAAATACATGTCTTCATTCCTCCAGTTTGTTAATGTATATTGGGAGTTTACTCTTGGATAATTGGTAATGTTTTTGGAGCTAACTCATAAATGGGGAAGTTTACTTCTTTATTTGGAGATTCAACTAGAAATTCAATATGTATGCCTAAGAATAGCTGAGTTAATGATTGCTTACCATGGTCCCTTAAGAAAAATTTGCTGAAGAAAAACATCACAAAGGAACAATAATTCTATATATTCCATAGCCTCTTAGTAGTACAAAGGAGTTTTAATTAGATTACCTTCCATTACCTGAAAGGTGGATATCTCTATGTAATAATACAACAAATGTTTAGTTTCCCACATCTAACAGTTTTGGTTTGGGGTCCTTCTCCAGATAGAAAATATTTGGGAGTTTTCACTCTTCTTTCTCTGACTTAAAGAATTTATTTACTTGGATAGGAGCTGGCATTTTATATTATCTAGATACTTCCAAAGTCTACTGCTATTCCAAAACACATCCACATCCACAGAATAAACTTTTGAGGTTGCACAATAGGTTGTATAATTTATCTTATTCCAGAGAGGCCTTTCTCTTCAACAGCAATACCTATTCCTGCTATTCTTATCCTTTACCTCTTATTTATTATGATCTTCTTATAGTGGCACTTTGGAGTCACGAGTTAGTATTAACAAACTAAAAAAAAAATGATTTTCATTATTTTGTCCTCTCTGAGTTACAAAACTATCATATATTGTTCAAACACAGCCATGAGGTCTCGGTGAAACTTTTCCTCATCTTGGACTTACATCGTATCATTCTCTGTCATTTTAGAGGGTAAAGGTCATATTTTTCTTGCTCAGCATTGTATGGTCAGTATGTAGCTCAATTCTCGGCTTATGGTGTTAAATACAGTTGACCCTTGAACCACACAGGTTTATACTGTGCTGGTCCACATGGATAAGGATTTTTTTCAATAAATTCATTGAATATTTTAAATGTATTTTCTCTTCCTTACAATTTTCTTAATAACGTTTTATTTCTTCCAGCTTACTTTATTGTCAGAATACAGTATATGACACATACAACCGATGTTAACTGTTTATGTTATCAGTTAAGCTTCTGGTCAGCGATTGGCTATTAGTGGTTACATTTTTGGGGAATCAAGTTATAAGCAGATTTTTGACTGTACAGGGTTGGGTACTCCTCTAACCCCCATGCTGTTCAAGGGTCAACTGTACTTGTTGAATGAATGAAGGATTACTTTTAATCTTCACATGCACATAAGCAGCTAAACCAAAACTGCTCCACAAACAGAAAGACAAATACACACGCACATCCATGTATCTATAATATATAACTGGCCGCATTTCTTCTCTTTCATTATATCACCTCTCATCTGGCACACTTGTTAATGTACTTCATCTCTCCTATGATCCTTATCCCCCTACACTGAGTGAGAGATGATAGCATTACCCATAGGAAAATGTTTATTTCAGTTGGAATACAGTTTGGAATGCTGGTTCATTAGTCTAGCCTTCTGGCTTGGTGTGCACCAGGGGAACATTTTTTGCGATAAATATTTATTTAAATTCTTATAACGTCACTTGACACTGTTGCTGTGCTTTACTGACATAACATCCAGTATAGTCTTCAGGTCATTTATTGATTATTATTTTGGGGGAAGGCGTTTAACACAGCAGAAATCCCTTGTCTCACAGTTTAGGAGGCCAAAAGTCCAAAACCAAGCTGTCAGCAAGATTGGTTCCTTCTGGAGGTTCTGAGGAAAAGTCTGTCCCATGCCTTCTCCTGGCCTCTCGTGGTTGCCAGCGACCCCTGGTGTTCCTGGCTTGCTGCTGCGTGACTGTAGCGCGGGTCCCATCTCCACGTGGCCGTCTTTCCTGTAGGCCTGTGAATGTCCGCGTCCCTAAATCTCTCTCTCCTTGTAAAATGTCCCTTGGTTGGATTTAGGGCCCACCCTAATCTAGTATAGCCTTATCTTAAACTGATTACATCTGTAAATGCCCTATTTTCAAATAAAGATACATTCACAAGTACCTGGTGTTAGGACTTCAACCTATTTTTTGGGGGGACACAATTTAATCCATAACTATGAAATAAATACCCTGCTTATCATTAGAAATATAAGCCTGTAAATTCATAAAATACATAAAAGCTCATTTTATAAACAAGTACATAAGAGAAGGAGGAAATTCCAGTTAATGTGCAAACTAAGCTATTTTTCATTTTTTGTCCTTCACTATTTCCTTGCCACCCACAAGACATGAATTTCTTTTAACTTAACCTTTTTTTTGCAAATTTCTCCATGAAAACTTCTAATCCACCTCCCAACTACTTTCCCATTTATGGTCTACACATTATTATTTATTGTTGTCGAATTTTAATTTTTATTCATATAATATTAGAACCTTCTTCCTTAAAGATGATCAAAGCAAGTCTCATATAGTTTCTGTCTTGACCAAGGTCATCAAGATTGTTAATGAAAGAATCAGAAGTAGCATCTAGGTTTTTTTAAAATTTTTACTAAATTTAATGAGGTTACACTGGTTAACAAAATTTTACAGGCTATCATCAATAAATCAACAAAAGCAAATGTTGGTGAGGATGTGGAGAAAAGGGAACCCTCCTGCACTGTTGGTGGGAATGCAGATTGTGCAGCTGCTGTGGAAAGCAGTTTGGAGTTACTTCAAAAAAAATTAGAACTGGAACTGCCTTAGGACCTAGTAATTCCACTTCTGGAAATAGATCCAAAGAAACCCAAAATGCTAATTTGAAAGAATATGTGCACCCCTCTGTTCATTGCAGCATAACTTATAATAGTCAAGATTAGGAAGCAGCCCAAGGGTCCGTGAGTAGATGAGTGGACGAAAAAGCTGTGCTACCTTTACACACTGGAGTACTACTGAACCATAGACAGAAGGAAACCTTACCCTTCTTGCCAGCATGGATGGACCTGGAGAGTATCATGCTAAGGGAAATAAGTGAGTCAGAGAAAGACAAGTACCATATGATTTCACTCATATGTGGAATCTAATGAACAAAATAAACTAACAGACAACAGAAACAGACTCATAGATATAGAACAGACTGCCAGCTGTCAGAGGGGAAGGTGATCGTTACGGGCTGGGTAATAAAAAGATTAATCCCCAAAACCCCCAAACAAACCCATAGACACAGACAATAGTATGGTGATTACCAGAGGGAAAGGGGAGTGGGAGGAGGTAGAAGAGGAAAAACGGGGGAAATGGTGATGGAAGGAGACTTGACTTGAGGTAGTGGATACACAATATAATGTACAGATGATGTATTATAGAATTACACACATGAAACCTATATAATTTTATTGACCATTGTTACCCTGATAAATTTAATAAATAAAAACATTACATAGGTTTCAAATTCATTATTCTAGGACATATGATTGTAGATTGAATTGTGTGCCCACCACCCAAAGTCAAGTCGTGCGTCACCATATATTGGACCCTCTTTACCCTTTACTACCCCATCCATCTTCCCTCCAGTAGCCACTGTACTGTTGTCCGTGTCTATGACTTCTTATTTGTTTTTCTTGCTTGTTCATTTTTTGCATTCAGTTTTATATCCAACCTATGTGGAAAATTGTATGATTCATGGCTTTTTCTGTCTGACATTTTGCTTAGCATGATCTTCTCAAGATCCATCCATGTCGTAAATGGCAATATTTCATATATATGTACCACATCTTCTTTATTCAATCATTTATTGAAGGACACTTCAGTTGTTTTTGTTTTGGGCACTGTGAATAATGCTGCTATGACCATAAGGCTGCATACATCTTTGTGCATAAATGCTTTGAAATTTTGGGGGTAGATACTCAGAATAGGAGTTGCTGGGTCATATGGTAACTCTTAATTTTTGAGGAGCCTCCATACTGTTTTCCATAATGGCTGTACCAGTTTACATGCCCACCAGCAGTGAATGAGTGTTCCTTTTTCTTCACAGCTTCTCCAACACTTGTTATTTGTCTGGATGATAATAGCCATTCTAATAGGTGTGAGGCGGTAGTTTTGATTTGCATTTTCCTAATAGCTAGTGTTGTTGAGCATCTTTTTATATATTTGTTGGCCATTTATATGTATTCTTGGGAGTAGAGTCTGTTCAGGTCCCCTGCCCATTTTTTTTAATTGGGTTTTTTGTTTGGTGTTGAGTTATATGAGTTCTTTATATATTTTGGATATTAACCCATGTCGAAGCTGTTGTTTTCAAATATCTCTTCCCATTTTGTTCATTGCCTTTTCATTTTGTTGGTTTCTTTTGCTGTGCAGAAACTTTTTAGTTTGATGGAGTTCCATTCATTTTTGCTTTTACTTCCCTTGTCTTTGGGGCCAAATTCATAAAATCCTTTCTTAGGCCAAGGTCCATTAAGTTTAGTATGTATGTTTTTTTCTATGTAATATATTATTTTAGGTCTTAAATTTAGGTTTTTGATCCATTTTGAATTAATTTTTATACATGGGGACACATTGTAAATGTACTTCATCTCCCTCCCTTCCTTCCTTTCTTCCTTCCTCCCTCCCTCCCTCCCTCCCTCCCTCCCTCCCTCCCTCCCTCCCTCCCTCCTTTCTTTCTTTCTTTCTTCCTTTCTTTCTTTCTTTCTTTCTTTCTTTCTTTCTTTCTTTCTTTCTTTCTTTCTTTCTTTCTTTTCTTTTTGCATGTGGCTTTCCAATTTTCCCAGCACCATTCATTGAAGAGACTTTCTTTTTTCCATTGCATGTTTTTGGCTCTTTTGTCAAAAATTATAGGCCCATATACATGTGGGTTTATTTCTGGGGTCTCAATTCTGTTCCGTTGGTCTATATGTCTCTTTTTCTTTCAATACCATGTTGTTTTGATTATTGTTGCTCTGTGGTATAATTAAGTCGAGGAGTATGATAACCAGCCTTGTTCTTTTTTTTTCAGGATTGCATTTTTGCAGATGACATGATTCTTTATGTAGAAAACCCTAAAGACTCTACCAAAAAACAATTAGAAACAGTAAACAAAGTATCAGGATACAAAAGAAATTACAAATACCCATTGCATTTTGTGCTAACAATGAAAGTTCAGAAAAAGAAATGAAAAAAATTCCTTTTTAATTACAACATAAAGAATAAAATACCCAGGAGTAAATTGAACAAAGTATGTGAAGGACCTATACATTGAAAATCACAAAGAATTATTAAAACAGATTGAAAACACAAAAAAATGGAAAGACATCCCATGTTCATGGATTGTAAAAATTAACAGTTAAAATGGCCATGTTATGCAAAACAATATCAAGACTTAATGCAATCCCCATTAAAATCCAATGTCATTTTTTATAATGAAATGGAACAAAAAAATCATTAGATTTGCATTTTTTTTAAAGAATAATCTTTCACTGATGGAAAGTCAGTGGGGAAGACTGTTGAAGTCAAAGAATGAAGAGAGGTTGGATTAATTCCAGTGTGGCTTATATTAATACCACAGTAGTATAATTAATTTTTAAATATCTAAATTCAATCAATATTTCCATTCTTTTCCTAAATGATCTCAGGAGAATCTGAGATGATTTAACAGCAAACTTCAGTCATTCATCTCTCACATATTGTCATTTGACTCTTAATTTCTGGGTTTTTTTTTTTTTTTTACCTACATGGCTCCCCCTAGATTAGTCACTGTTGTTATTACTACTATTATTATCATCATCATCATTTTATGTTAAATGAATATTTACTAGGATTTAACAACATATTTACTAATTTCTTTGATCACTAGTCATTCTTGAATTTATTTTTTGTTTTTACTTTAATTTCCTTTTTTCTGAAGTACAATCTTTTTAGTTTTAGCTAGTGGTTATAAGTATTTTGTGTTAATGTCTGAATATGTCTTTTTTCACACTCATCTTTGAAAGATAGCTTAGGTGATTAACAGACTTTTAGTTGAGAGTCAATTTCTACAATCTTTTAGTATATTTTGTGTTGTAAGGTGACATATACTGTCATTATTGAGACCTCACTTGTTAATCTGATTAATTTATTTATTCCCTTCCACTTAATATGTATTTTCTTTAAGTGCTTCTAAGGTTTCCTCTTCGTAGTAAGTCTTTTGTTCTTTTGTTGTGATATGTCATGATATAATATGGTTTTTATCTATCCAGCTCTGGATTCAATATAGTCTTGAAATATCTGCATTAAGGTTATTAATTCTGGAAAAAATTTAGTCATTATCTCTTTAATTATTTACTCTTCCCCATTCTTTTTCTTTTCTCAACCTAAATGGCTATTTATGGGAGAATCTTCTCCTTTTAGCCTCCACGTTTCTTAACATGACTGTTCATGCATTGTGCTTTTCCACCTCTCGGTCTCACATTGATATCCACATGGATTTCCAAATCACCCATTATCGCCCTTTCTCTTAACAGCTATCCTTTTCTTGCTCTACTTTTGACTCCATCTCTGTGGAGATCCTAAAGGTTGTATTAAAGGTTTTCTTATTATCTGTTGACCTTAATGTGTGAATTTTTCTGCTCTGCTGTGGCTATGGACATTTACCATGCAGTAGTTTGTAATTTAGACTTGTCAACTCATCGTCAGGGCCAGTGATTGTTCTCATGGGAATTCTGCATGCCCTGAATTGTAGAAGCATACAGAAGAAAGAGCATATTTCCGGTTTGCCTCTTTTGGGGCATGACTGTTTCAAAATTTGCATGCTTGCTGGTTTTAATTTTTGGATATTGGAATTGACAAATTGAGCTCTTGCCTCTGTACATGGTACAGGCCTGGGGTTCTGCATTTCTTGGTGATCCTTTTCTAGTCACACGCCTGAGACAGTTTGTCTGTTAAATTCCTAGCAGCCATAGTTTTTATTCTTTCTATTCAAGACTACTAGGCTTGGGCTTCAATCAAGTTTTCTAACATCTAAACAGCTGTGCCTTTAACTCCTTCCAAGCTAAGCCTAGTCAAAGCACATCCTTTAGGGTGTGAGTAATTCAGATTTCCTTGTAGTCATTCAGCGTTAGCCTCTGTTTTCCCTCTATACTTCTAGTTTATCATACTTTACTGACAGAAAGAAAAGTCTTTTCTGGTTCTTAATCTCAGTTGAGTATTCACATTTTTGTGCTATTTTCATCAGCTTTTCTGTGGAAGAGAAAGGGGAAATTTTCCTTATGGAATAGAAAGGGGAAATTTTCCTGTCAGTTCAGTCTGCTAGGTTGCCCAGGAGCAAAGGGGAGTTTTAATTGGTAAAATGTGGCAATTTTCATATCAATGAATAAAAAGATAGCGTGGAGCGTGAAGGCCAAATTTAGGCCTTCAGAGTCAAACTTAAAGAAAGTGCTTAGCAGTGAAAAAGAAAAAAAGAGCTTTGATATCTTGATACTTTTCCTTATTGGAGGTTTAAAATTTTTAACAGCATATTGTACTTGATGTTGAGTAAATAAGAATGCTACTTATTTACTTGTCCAAGTATTAATACAAATTAGTTTTGGTATAAAAATGCCCTAATCTTCACTTAAAGTAGATAAGTTTCTTAATATTAACTTTTAGACATTACTTTTACTTTTATTTTTATTCAGATCCAGGTCAGAAAGTAGTGCCCAAATGTATACGAGCAGGTAAGCCATTTAAGAAGTATTTCTTTTAAATAAGTATATGTCAAAAATAAGAACGAACCAATCACTTAATATTTTTTTGAGCAGCCACAGTTGATAAAGTACTGCACTAAAATGTAAATATCTCTCATTCTTGGAACAAGTATTAAGTCAATCTTTTTTCTTCAGTTGACTAAATTTGTAGTGACTGCTTCCTCTTTTGATACATAGGAAAAAACTAGTTAAATCGAATAAGAGACAAGGTATTTATAATTACTTTGTGAAACTAACTCATAAGCAAGGCATTTGTTTTGCATTCTTTGTAATGGGATACACAAAGGGAAATATTACTTTTTTGTTCAGGTTTCATTTACACTCACAAACTCAATATGAAGAACTGAGTCAATGATTAGTTTCACTGAGGCGGAGTTTATCTAAGAGTCAGTATCATAAATGCACTAGAACTCTACATTTCCCACCTCCCCTCAACAGCCCATGATTGTGTTAACAAGGGTTCTCTGAAGTTGAGTTTCCCATGCTCCACAACTGTGGCCTTGTGACCCTTCTGAAGTCATCCAGTACTTACAAGGAACAAGTATTAACTCAAATAAATTCTTTCTTTCTCCCTTATAGAGTTTTAGTTTTCTCGTACTGTCTGGCATATTTCCTTGAAGTATCTTTTTCTAGTTACAGTCAATCCATTGGTCTTCCAGAATATCTTGTAAATCTTCAGGCTAAGTTTTCAGGCTATACCCACCATTCTATGGTCTCTAGCCTTCCCGATGAAGTCAGTTCCTCCATCAGGGAAACCATAGAAATTCTGTATTCTTTATTCTCTCTGTTGTTTTTGGATGTCTCTAAATGTATAATCACCTCTTTATAGACCTTAGTTACCTTCTCCAAACCAAGTACGGAGGAAAAAACACTGATTTTCTTTATTATCTCTCTTCTCTGTCAGCATTACCAAGAGATTTGTGGCAATGGTGCCAAACACTAATTCCTCCAACCTTTTGCTTACCTAGAAGCATTATTTTCCCTGTATATTCTGAAACAACTTGAGGGTAAGGGCTACACGTATTTTGCTAACCAGTTTATAGTTAGCACCAAGCAGAGTAAATGCTCAATAAGTACTTGTTTAATGAATGAGTGATTACTCTTGAACTTCACATATACAGATAATTAATGTTATAACTACTCCAATTTTCCTCTCACATTCTCTCTCATTATAGAATGTGTCGTTCACATACCATCCTTTTCTAGAAGTGGTATTCAACTAAACCGAGGGATAGTCAAGAGCATCATTTATAGAACAACATGTATTGCATCTGAAGAGTGTAACTTGGAATGAATGTTAACCCATTAGTTTCTGTTTAGCATACACAATAAAAGCATTCTTGGATTATTTTTTTCACTTAAATTTAATAAGCTAAGCAGACATAGTTGTTGTCCTTTACTGTTTCTTTTTCTTCCCTATTTTAAAATTTGTATTTTCAGTGTCTTTTCAAATTGGAAAGACCATGGGAGATGTTGCTAAAACCAACTTCTTGAGTAAACACTACCAGAACAAAATTTTTTTTAAAAAGCTGGAAACCTAATGAGCTGTACATGTCAGTAGACTCACAAGTCTGGATATTCAAATCTTTTTATTGGTTTGGACGAGAACCAACTATATTAAATAGGGGTATTTGGAGATCAGAATAGTAGGAAAGATCTATAAGTTTTGAAGATATAAAAATAGCACTGATAGGGAAAGGATGAAAAGAATAAAACTATATTATCACTAAAATTTCTTGCTAATTTAACTATCTGTATTATCTTCTCTGTCAATTAACCTCATTTAATTTGCCTTCAATTTATTCTTTTTTTTCCTCATTTTTTTTGTTGGGGGCTCTGACATAAGAAATTTGTGAATATAAAAATAAGAAAGAGGCCCAATAATTTAATTTGATGTTTGATAATATAAAAATATAAATTTGGCAATGATTTCTCTTTTACCAAAATTTTGAAAGGAAAGAGGAAGAAACTGCCATGAAAATTGTAAGTTTGTCAGATTGTATTGTATCAAACTAAAAGTACTATTTCCTTATCTATTTAGATCCAAATGACAGGAAACTATCCAACTGTAAAACACAAAGTAAGTGCATTAAAAGATGTCTCTTACATGTTTGAAATTAAAATGAAATTCATAATCCATGATTAATTCCTAAGTTATTTATTGGGTAGATGAATTGGTAAAGTAGTACACCAAAAATAATTTATTAATCTTTACTAGTCTTGTTATTAATGGGTATTTAAATCACTTAGCCTTTTTCTTCAGTTTCATAAAGTTATCTTAAGTTTGTAAGGAACTTGTTCTTGAGGATAGAATGGAATTAAACTGTTGAGTCTAATATAAAAAACATGTAAATTAGTTTATAAAATGAATTGATAATCAGGGCCATTTTATCCATTAGGCGCTGAGGTGACAATGCTTAAGGCCTGTGAGTTTCCAAGTGCCAAAATACTGTTTATAACATGAAGAGCAAAAATGATTGCTACAAGATACAACAAAAGTAAAATTAACATGTATTTAAATTTCTAAACAATGCAAAGATTAACTTAATTGTTATATTCATGAACATTTTGTTGTATGTGGAAAAAGTGATAGTTTTTCTCATCTGCAAATACTTTTAATTTAATATGACCCTTCAGAAATCACAGAAAATGGTAGAGTAAGTTATAGCCAAATAATATCACAAGCAAAATGGTACGGATTCTTGCTAGAGCTTTTTTCCTGCCGTGTGAATTTTTCACTTGGCCGCACCCCGACCGTTTGTGTGTTTTGCTGTGGGAGGGAATTTATTTGCTCTCGGTACCTGAAGCATGTGTGTCTCTGTTCTTTTCTGCAGTAACTGGTCATTTCTTCAGAAGTCAATGGATGCTACTGAGTGTCTCACCGAGAAATGAAAATTCTGCCTTCCCTCTCCTTGTCACAGCCGAAGGAAACAATAAACGAAGTGTGCACCAATTTGCATGCGTGTCTGGTTTTTCTCGCCTCCTCCATGCCTGTGCCTGCAGTTCTGTCCTTTCAGGGTCCTGAACTAAAGACAGTCATCTCAGCTGGGGTATTTCCACTCTGCCAGCTCCCCGAGCTCCTCTCCACAGCTCTGCCACCGCAACTCGAGGTTCCAGATGCTGGGGACTGGCACCAACTGCCCTTATCCAGGAAGGGCTCTGGGTGGCGGGACTTCGGACTTCGGTTCTCCAGACTTCGCTGGCTGCATGCAGGTTTCACTTAACCCAGATATTTGCCCACCTCACCCTCCCCACAACCCCAAACCAGGCTTCTGAGGGAGGGTGTGTTTGCTTCGGAGACTGTACTTCAACTTCCAAGCCTCTTGCATTGCCTCCCACCTTCCTCTTGCCCCTCTGCTGGGTGATCGACAGGTAAATCTGTTACCTAGCTAAAGGGATTCATCTGCCTGTGTGCATCAAAGCCAAATGGAACAAGGACAGTAGTTTGCAGCAGAGAAAGTAAAGGTTTATTTAAGAAAACAGTGCTAAGCCCACAGACAGGTGTAGACCTGGCTCCCCAGTGGCTTGTAGAGGGTAGATTCTATAGGGAAAAATCATTTAGTCATGTGACTAAGGGAGTTGCGGTGGTGAGCCGCACTGACTGGTTGGGGCCAGGGCAAGGATAACTTGTCACTGTGTCGCTTCCTGATGTCAGCCATGGCGTCATTCTTTCTGGTTTCATGAGGGTGTAGTTGGTAGGGTCATTCAGCTTTCATGGGCCTGGGGCTGAAACAAAACTGAAGTTAAGATACTGTCTTTAGTTTGTCTAAAACTCTGTTCCCTGGAGCAGCAGACCCAAGGTTCTATTCTTAAGATAGTTGGAGTTGACCAGAACCTGATGTTCTAAGGGCTTAATGATTAAGGGAGTATGTGCGAAGGCAGAAGAATCTGGTTGAAAGGAGGCAAGTGTGTCATGGTGCTATAAGATGGGTCAAAGGTAGCATGAAATAAAAAGTCGTATTTGAAAAATGAAGTTTCTATGTCATTACAATTTCCAGAAGACAGGAGGACCCAGAGGGCTTGAGCTTGGATTGGGGGCAAAGATTAACCCTTCAGAGTCTGGTCTCAGGATTGATAAATTGAGTTAGGAAAAGTTTCCTTCTTTTTTTTTTTCTTTTATTGATTGCAGAGAGAGGGGAAGGGAGGGAGAAAGCGAGGGAGAGAAATACTGATGTGCGAGAGAAACATCATCAGTTATCTCACGCACACACCCCGACTGGGGCTGAACCCATAACTCAGGCCTGTGCCGTGGCGAGAAATCAAACCCAAGAACTTTTTGTTTGCGGGACGATGCCCAACCAATTGAGAGCTGTTCTCTCATTTTCCATGTCCTGAAAGTGTTTGTGTAAAATGTAGTTTTTCAATTAAGTATTTGGCAAAATTCACCAATTTAGCTGGGGTTTTATTTGTGGGAATATTTTAAATTATGGATTCAATTTCTTTAACAGAGGACTATTCAGATTTTTCATTTATCTTGTGATAGCTTAAGATATTGTGATATTAAAGGAGTTTATTCATTTCATTTAATCGTCCATATTTGGGTATAAAGTTGTTCCTAATATCCTTTTTAATGTCTGTAGGATCTATAGTTATGGCCTCTCTTTCATTCCTGATCATGGTGATACTCTGATCCATCTTGATAAGAGTTTTTCTATATAATCTACTAATATCTTCAGGCTACCTCTTGGTTTTGTTGTTTTCTCTGTTGCATCTGTTTTCTGTTTCATTAATTTCCACCTTTTATTATTATTTTTATTGTATTTTTCCATTACCATTTACCCCCCTTGTAATTGCCTCCCGCCTGCAATCACCACACTGTTGCCCATGTCTGTGAGCCCTTTTTCCTTTTTTCTCCATCCCTCCATTCCCTCCCCATCAGTCTCACCTTGGGGCTGTCGGCCTGCCCTCTGTCTATGAGTCTGTCTCTTTTTTGCTTGTTAGTTCAGTTTGTTCATTAGATTCCACATATGAGTGAAATCATATGGTATTTGTCTTTCTCTGGCTCTTTCACTCAGCATAATGATCTCCAGGTCCATCCATGCTGTCTCAAAGGGTAAAATTTCTTCCTTTTTGTGGCTGAGTGGTATTCCATTGTGTTAAGTGTCCCATAGTTGTTTTATCCACTCATCTACTGATAGACACTTGGGCTGCTTCCAGATCTTGGCTATTGTAAATTAACACTGCAACGAACATAGGGGTGTTTATGTTCTTTCGAATTAGTGCTTCGGGTTTCTTTGTATAAATTCCCAGAAAGGGATTACCAGGTCATGAGGCAGTTCTAGTTTTAATTTTTTGAGCTTTCTCCACACTGCTTTCCACAGTGGCTGCACATCTGCATTCCCACCAACAATGCAAAAGGGTTCACCTTTCTCCAGATCCTTGCTAGCACTTGTTGGTTGTTGATTTATTGATGGTAGCCATTCTTATAGGTGTGAGGTGATATCTCATTGTCATTTTAATTTGCATTTCTCTGATGACTACTGACATGGAGGATCTTTTCATATGTCTTTTGACCATCTGTATGTCCTCTTTGGAGAAGTGGCTATTCAGGTCCTTTGCCCATTTTTTAAATCGGATTGTTTGTATCTTTGGTGTTGAGTTTCGTAAGTTCTTAATACATTTTTGATATTAACCTCTTTTCAGGTATATCAGTGAATATGTTCTCCCATTTAGTGGGTTGTCTTTTTGTTTTGTTGATGGTTTCCTTTTTAGTTTGATGTAGCAAAAGCTATGTATGACAAACCCACTGCCAGCATCATACTCAATGGGCAAAAACTATAAGCATGATCCTTAAGGGCAGGAACAAGACAGGGATGCCTGCTTTCACTTCTCTTATTCAATCTAGTACTGGAAGTCCCAGCCATAGTAATCAGATAAGAAGAAGAAATAAAAGGCATCCAAATTGGAAAGGAAGAAATAAAACTGCCTTTTTTGCAGATGACATGATACTGTACATAGAGAACCTCAGGATGCCACCAAGAAACAACTAGAACTGATAAATGAATTCAATAAAGTAGCAAGATACAAAATTATTATTCAGAAATCAGTTGCATTTTATACACCAATAATGAACTATCAAAAAGGGAAATTAAGAAAACAATTCCATTCACAATTGTTTCAAAAAGAATAAAATACCTAGGAATAAATTTTACCAAGGATATCAAAGACCTGTATTCAGAAAATTATAAGACTTGAAGAAAACAATTGAAGAAACAAATAAGTGGAAGTACATACTGGATAGAAAGAATAAACATCATTAAAGTGTCCATACTACCCAGAACAACCTATAGATTCAACACAATTCCTAGGAAGACGTGTTTCACAGAACTAGACCAAATATTTCAAAAATTTATAGGGAACCACAAAAGGTCCCACATGGCAATAGCAATCTTGAGAAAGGAAAACAACATTGGAGGAATCATGCTACCTAATATCAAACTATACTATAAGGCCATAGTAATCAAAACAGCATGTAATGGCATAAAAGCAGACACATAGATCAATGGAACAGAACAGAGAGCCCAGAAATAAACCCACACTTTTATAGTCAATTAATATTTGACAGAGAAAGCAAGCACATACAATGAACTAAAGACTGTTTATTCAATAAAAGGTGTTGGGAAAATTTGCACAGATAGTGCATAAAAATGAAACCAGATCACCTTCTCACACCACACACAAGAATAAATTCAAAATGGATAAAAGACTTAAATGCTAGACCCAAAACCATAAAAATCCTAGAAGAAAACAAAGGCATTAAAATCTTGGACATTGCTTATAGCAAGATTTTTTTCTGATATATCTCCTGAGGCAAGGGAGACAAAAGAAAAAATAAACAAATGGACCTATATTATTTTTAAATTGAAATCATTTTTAATTTTTCAATTACAGTTGGCATACAACGCTATATTTGTTTCAGATGTACACCCCGGTGTGTAGACATTATATAATTTATAAGTGATCATCCCAATAATCCTAGTACCCATCTGACATCATAAATACTTATTACAATACTATTGACTATATTCCCCCTATGCTGTACTTTATATCCCCATGACTAATTGTAATAACAATTTGTACTTAATCCCATCATCATTTCATTAATGTCCCCAACCCCCCTCCTATCTGGCAACCATCAAAATGTTCTCTGTACCTGAGTCTGTTTCTGCTGTGCCTGTTTTGTTTTGTTTTTTTGATTCAATTGTTGATAGGTATGTATTGATTGTCATTTTATTGTTCATATTTTTTCTTTTATCTTCTTCTTCTTCTTAAAGGAGACCCTTTAACATTTCATGTAATACTGATTTGGTGGTGATGAACTCCTTTAGCTTCTCCTTGTCTGGAAAGCTCTTTATATGTTCATCAATTCTAAAAGATAGCTTTGCTTGATAGAAGAATCTTGGTTGTAGGTCCTTGCTTTTCATCACTTTGAATATTTCTTGCCAATCTCATCTGGCTTGCAAATATTTTATCAGTCCTACCCTCTTTCTTCTCTTCTGAGGCTCCAGTAACATGGTAGAACTTTTATTGTAGTCCCGAAATCTTTAAAGTTCTGTTTTTGTTTGTTACAGTCTGTTCTCTCTGCACTATTCAGAGAGGGTAATCTCTATTTCTCTTAAGTTCATTAGTTCTTATCTCTGTACTCTCCATTCTCCTGTTGGACTCACCCAGTGGGTGTTTATTTTGGTATTGCATTTTTCAGTTCTAAAATTTCCATTTGGTTCTTTGTATTTTCTTTGCTGAGACTTTCCATTTTTAATTGGTTTTACGTGTGTTCTTAATTTCCCATTGAAGCTTTTTATAATAGGTTCCTGAAAATTTTCATCAGATAATTCTAACATCTCTCTATGTTATCTTTTGACTCTTTGTTATCTTATTCAGTTTGAGATTTTCTTATTCTTGGTTTGATATTTTGGTTATTATGAGATTCCTAAAAAAGTCTCCAACAGCACCTTTAGTGGCATTGTGGGTGGGTATGCAATTCCATCCTCCCACTTGGTCATATCTGATCTGAGACCCCCTCTGGTGCTTGGGGGTGTGTGTGTGGTGGGGGTCATAGATGAGACCAACCTGCTGGCTAAATCAAGATCTCAAGACACCCTGGTATCTTGAGATAGCCAGCAGGTTGGAAGGCTAAACTCCCTACTCTGCCTTTGCTGATGGAGTTGGAATGAAGCTGTGTTATTTATTTCCTGTGGTATTTGGCAAGTAGGGAAGTGGCTAAGTTTTCTGCCTTGCCATATTGCCCCTTTTTGGGTCCTTTTCCTAGGGAAAGGAGGCTTTTCTGGGGATATTTTTTGTCTGCTCTTGCTCTTGTGGTTTCAAGTCATTGGCTTCTGCAGCACCCAGCCTGGGATATATGAGACAAAAAGAAAACTCAAGGAGCGAGCTCACTGCCATTTTGTTACATAACAAAGTAAAAACTAGGGGCTGCATTATTACACAGTGTGGCAATAATAGTGGGATGGATAGTAAAGAAGTTTTTTCGAAGAGTGTGTCTTTGAACTGGGATTGTATGGGGTTTTCTCCATGCAAACCGTGTCCGGTAATGGCATACCCAACAATGAAATTTAGAAAAGTAACATTGTTTGCAACCGTTTTTGCAAATATATGCATTTTGCCTATTTGGATGGTGTGAAAATATAATAGGCAGAAATTTGTTTGCTATGAGTAACTTCAGCATTTTTATCTTTGTTCCTCCTCTTCTTTGTAACTAGAAACTACTTCAAAAATCGTTGGCCTAAGTAAATGATACAAACAGAAGCCTCACTAACACCACCCTAATCGGAGGACTGAAAAGCACGCAGCCTTTCCTTCCGTAACAAGCAACTGAATGTGTGTGAATGAATGTTGACAGGCTCCTCCGGGCCCTCCCCTGCCCACCTGCTTTATGCCAAGTCACCCCCAGGGCCAGGCGAGAACCTCGCGTTTCCTAGCGCACTAGCTCTGCCCCTCTCCGCAGCCTCCCGCCCTGCTGCTCGGTCTGGCGTTACCTCCCGGCTCTGCGAGCCTGCGCGAGCTGCACCTTACTGGCCTCAACGTCCCAACTGCTGTTATTCGGCCAACAGGGCTCCAAGACAACGGAGCCATGTTCTTTCTTCTGGTCCTTCTCACGGGACTTGGTGGTCTGCAGGCAGGCCCCGGTAAGTACAGATACTTGTTCCTCCTGCCAACCCAGGCTGCTTAGGGGACTTTGCTTCGGCGGCTGTACTTTTTGGTCCAGGATCTCGGCCTAGTCCGTCCTTAACAGGGCCCCTTGCTTGTCCCACCCACTTTCTCCCTGTCCTTCCCTTCAGGGTCTCATCTTTTCATTTCTCCGGAATGGTTTCCTTGTCTGAAAAATGGACAGAAATGAAACGTGGTCCAGTCAAAATCCTGCTGTTGTAAGAAGAATTGCATTGCCTTAAAGAAGCTACTTATCTATGATTTCCCTGATTGGCTGGCTGCTGTCCTCAACCTGTTCCACTGAAAACTGCCTGTCACCCTTGTGTTCAGTATTTTGTCTTTTCCCTGTAAATGATCTCTCTCTCTCGATGTACCTGTGTTGTTCCCATTTCCACATTTATTTTACAGAACAGTAACACTGTATTTGTTGCTCAGTGTTACTTAGTCCCCTTGTTGAACCGCCTATTCAGTGTGTGTGTGTATAGAAATAAATAAAAAGAAAATCAAATCATGAGATATTGGCAAGGATTAAGAAATTTGTAGGTAAGAATGACCAAAGAGACAGTGAAAAGGAAGAGCAGATACATAGATTATACAAAAAAAAAATATTTTTGGTAATATAGAGAAACAAATGCAGAATTAGATTTAGTAATGGATAATATGAGATAACAGGTACCAAAATAACTTCACTTATTTTTCTTTTAGATCTTCATAGAACATTTCTGCAGACCACAGTTCCTGAAAAGATCTCGTCTTTTGACACAGAAAGAGATCCAGAAAATAATGTAATGGGAAATAATATTTGCATATCTTAAATTGTGTTGTCTTTAATGTGAAGACTAGCATTGCTGAATGTAGGCAGGAACTCAGTTCTTGGAGTCCGAGCTGACAGTTCAGACCAGGATCACAACATGGAGCATTTTAATGTGTATGAATATGTGTGACTCTGTATGTGTGTGTGTTTCTGTTGAGGATGAAGGATTTTAATGATAGGAGCCACCAGGGCCAGGACTAGGGAGAGGCAAGCAAAGACCTCGACTCAGGTGCAGAATTTAAGAGGGTGACAAGAAGCTGGAATTCCCCCAGGACCAAGCTTAAGGCGAGGTGATTGAGGTGAGTCAGGGTCAGATACTGTCTTTCTTTACAATTTTGGTATTTTGCCTCTCATCAGTTTTTTGCATTACTTTTGATTATTTAAAATATTGCATTCAAGTAGTGTTTATCTGTATTACTGAGTTGTCTGGCCCCATAGTCCAGATGCATATGGGTATACATGTTCTTTGACTAATCTCTTCCAGACCCCCTCCCCTCTGAGATCTGTCAGTCTGTTTCATATATCCATGCCTCTGGTCTTATTTTGTTCATCAGTTTGTTTTGTTCATTTGATTCCACATGTGACTAGATTCTATGGTATTTGTCTTTCTCCTACTAGCTTATTTTGCTTTGCTTTGCTCCAGGTTCGAAGGGTGAGTTCCTTTTCCATTTTTTTTTTTTTTTGACAGCTGTATAGCATTCCTGATCTTGGCTGTTGTAAATAACGCTGCTTTGAGCCTTAGAGTGCATATATTCTTTTGAATTGGTGTTTCAGGATTATTCGATATATTCCCAGAAGTGGGATTGCTGGGTGAAAAGGCAGTTTCATTGTTAATTTTTTGAGGAAGTTCCGGGTTCTCTTCCACGGTGACTGCATCAGTCTGCACTGGATAATCTTGCAGCTGTGTCAGTGAGTGTGTCACAAGTTCAAACTCTAAATTAGTTGTAAATAAGTTAAATGATTGATAGGGTTGTAAACTTGTGAACAAACAGTTAATTGAACTTGATATGGGACTAAAAAAAAAGACAGTGAACTTCCGGTTTCTCTGTAAGAGCCGGTTGTAAACATGGTTTTGCCTAAACAAAACCAAGCCAATCTCATATGAGGGTTTGGGAAGCCTGGTGTTCAGAGATTGGTAGGCTTTCAGGAGGGAGAGTTTTATGTATTGACAAGCTCTCAGCTGTGTTAGTGTGATCGGTGGAGTAAAACTACTTGTTGACTGTCTCACTGTCAGAATTCTCATCAGTGGAGGGAGGGAATTACTGTCTCTTGTCTAGAAGCTGGGGCTGTCACTGATTGGCTGATTTGCAGACACTTGGGGCTCTCACTGATCTGCTGACTTTCAGAAACTAGCTATTGTAGTGTGGCTGTTGTGGACTGGCTGATTTCCTGATCTGCCGCGCTACTGGAAGTTATCTCTAACAGTGATTACTTACTCCTGACCCAAGACTTTGCCCAAAGAACAGCCTTTTCCTTTGTTGAATATGAAAAATAAGCATTTTAAATTCTGAGTCCCTCTTTTTGGACCTCCCTCAAATAAGCTGATAAGGAGGGAGAAGGGATTGCACAGGTCTTTATTTCTGAAAGAGTGATTTTCAGCTGGTGTTGCCATTTAAGTGACATAAGCACTAGTTACTATGGTAGAAGATAACTCTGACTGCCATATTCTTGTAATTTATTGAAAAAAGCTGAATATAGGACATTTAGGGTATTCTGACAAAGTCACTACAGGACACAAGACAAAAATTATTAAATTTAGGACATGTCCCTATATACAAGGTGCCTAGCAATGCTCTACACATACCACAGTCTACTTAGGGATGAAAAAAATTATTTGCATATTTTTGAGTTTCCCAAGTGACTTTTTGATTTAGATATCGGAATTTAAGGCGGCCTAGGACTGTCCTTCCAATACATCACATATAATTAGATCCGATAGAACACTTGTATTACCATCCATTAAACAAATAAAAGGAGGCCCAATTACTTCATTTAGTGGAAAAAGGAAGAAGGGATGCTGATAGCTTTTTTTTTGTTGTTGTTCTCTCTTTCTTGGTTCCTGGGCAGAAAAGTATCTTGTGTAATCAACAAAAATAGTGCAAACATTTTTGCCCTAGCCACATTAATTAATAGTAAATGTTGACCTGATAATGACTCCTCCTGGAGCATGGATGGACTGAAGCAAGGCTGTTCAAGGGGAATTTGGATGAGTAAGGTAGAGTCTCAGAGTATTATCTAACATACCAAAGGAAGGCCAATTGAAACTGCTGTTTATAACCCTTTGGTATTTGATTTTTATTAATACTGTTTGATATTTTTGTCCCAATATTTTATAGGTGCAGTGTAGTGTTCCATGTTATTTAGTTTTATTTAAATAATATTTGGATACTTTTTTCAGTCATGACCACCAGAGACCCAGTTCTATTCTAAGTGAATTTTGTGAATGATGGTGATATACATGATTTGTTCCAGAAGAACAACCAAAGTGAAGACTATGAAAAATCAATGCCATCCTTCCTGCAACTAAAATTTTTGCTAATAGAGCAAATTAGAGAAGACTGTCCAGGTATAGAATAGTATGAGCCAGAATACTCTTGAGCTTCCTTATACCCCACCAATCATCCTGCCCCATACAAAACACTGAAGGTGGGTAATTCATTAATTTCTGTTTTGTTAGGAAGAATTTTTAGCGTGCCTCAGGATGTCTTCCGGTTCATTCCAGCAATGACACAATATGTTGTGAAGAGAGATTATAGGTTGACTTCTGTGATTAATTTGATTTAAATTTAGTGTTTTTGGAAATATCCCATAGAGGATTTTTTTGGACCTCAGGAGCAGATATATACTCAAATGCATTTCATAGCTCACTATGATGAATTGTTCTATCAAGACTCTTTAGTATATTTTCTCCTTTTCCTAATCCCCATTCCCATTTACTTCTTCCTTCCAAAGACAACAATACCCATGTACTTGATATATTTCTTTACATGTGTGCATTTGTTTGTATAATATTGTGGTGGACAGTATTCTAAGATGGCCTGAGTCTAAGATACCGACTCCCTGTTGTGTGTACTCTGTATAATCAATCCCCTCTCCTTGAGTGTCAGTTGAACCTGTAAATATTATGAGGTAGTCACTCTATTATTTCATTTATGTTATACAAGACTCCATCATAGCTTTGTGGAGGGTTCCTCCAGTGGCCTCAAAGAAGACACACATTGCCATGTTGTGAACCACCTGTGGGGACCTTGTGGCAAGGAACTACAGGCAGCCATTATGAGTTAAAAGCAACCTTGGCTGACAGCAAGCAAATAATGGTGACTTCAGTCCCACAATTACAAGGAGATAAATTCTGCCATCAATCGCTATCAATAAATTTAGCCCAAGTTCCAGATGTGATCACAATGACGGCCAACACCTCAATGAGTATAATTTAACATTGCCATTTCTGTTATTCTGATGGATAAGTGTTATCTCATTGTTTTAATTTGCATTTCTGAAATCATTATTGAGATATTTTTATTGAGATTAAATATTTTTATTTACATAGAATGAAAAGCAGAGATTTTAAGTGTACAGTTCCTTGAGTTTTTACAAATGTACATATTCTTGTAATCAATACCCAAATCAAGATAAAGATCATCCCAGAAAATTTCCATATGTTCACCCCCTCAGAGCCACTGTTTTGCTTTCTATCATCATAAGTTAGTTTTGCTTATTATGAACATTTTTGTGCACACTGTAACCATCTGTTTAACTACCACACATTTGTGGGTATAGAATCTCTAGCATTCCAGAAGGAGGCTCCTGTAGTTTCTCAGTCAATCCCCACAATGTTACCATGATTCTTATTTCTATCGGCGTTGATTGTCTATTCTCGATACATATATGATTCCACATAAATATAGAGACATGATTAAATAAACATATATTTATGTATGCGTGAATGTATATATGATTATGCGATCATACATTATGCAGCCTTTTTGTGTAGCTTCTTTTGTTTAACCTTATGTCTTTTAGATTCATCCATGCACTTGCTTTTAGTTCAGTTTATCCTCTTGCATTGCTGTACAGTATTCCATTGTGTGAATGCACCATAATTTCATGTTCTCTTATGTTCAGCACTGCTGCTGAACATTTGGATTGTGTCCAGTGTGGAAC